AAAGACACAAATTATTGAGCAACTTACAGGTTACCTTGTAGCAAAAAGTTCTCACAGAAACCATGGATTCTGGCATTTTTATTGGTGTACAATGCTCTGGTCAGTGCCAGAGGGGCATGATGTCAAACCGCAAAACATTTTTAGTCTGGCAGCTGTGTGGAAATTGAAGCTGGAGTCACTAATGGCTTTGCACGGTGTTTGGATGCTGGTGAAAATACAATTTAGCACTCAGCCACATTTCAGCTCATTTTGATGACATACCATGAATTTGCCCATCTTCCAAGTTGTAGTTCAGTACATCGTGCTCAATTTGCCAAATATGTGATTATGTGTGTCTGTTAAACTCTTGCTTCATCCGGGAAAATAATCATGCAATAATTTTCAGGCTGGCCTTCACACATTTCTCTCTGGTTGGTGGTTTTTTCTTGAAGAGAGTTCTTAAGCTGCCCCCAAGCCCTGTATGGGCTACTTAAAAACCTCTTAAACAAGAAAAAAAGTTTCTCTCTTTTTTGCTTTCTTTCTTTTTTGTGGAGACCAAGGACGGCACTCAGCAATTAGCTGTGATTCACTCGGCAGCAATTTGGACCTTTCGAGAAAATGGGGAAAATTCTTGTCCCCAGACCCTGCCGCACAATGGGAGAAACTGCGGCCACTTATCCATGGTTCAGAGCTTTGGGAATTACATTATGACTAGACAGAACAGACCAGCCAAAGGAAAAAAGATGGGGAAAAAGCATGAAAAGTAACTTCAACAGGAGCTAAAAGTGAAAGAATATGTGCCAAAGAGTTTTCCTGACAATCAGAACTTTACTTTGTATTTTGATTTTAGTATTTGAAGAGCCTGTAATTAGCTTTGGGAATAATCACAACTCTCACTGGTTATCACATTCCTTTTTCCCAGACATGACTACAGGACTTGTAGCATTCAGATTGCAATAATTGGAAGCATTCGGAGAGCACCGCTTCTAGCTGAAAGGAAAGCGCCCTTTCAAGCCATAAAATGGAGCCCTTTCTCCCCATTGCCACATACATGTATGTTGGAGTTTTACCACACACAGACCCGCTTATCTCCCAGTCCCTCTTTATAAGTCATCTGTACCATCAGTCATGATATCCCTTCAGACTACCACAAGTACATGAACATAGACTTTACCATTAGTGAAAGGAAAGACTTTTTCCCCTGTGAAAGGTGGAAACTGTTGACAAAACTACTGGAAATCTTGCCCAAGTGTTTTCATTTTTGCACAGTTTGGCATACATGTGATAGGGTTCTTGTATGCGCATGCGGTTTTGGATGGCATAGTACATACATGTAGCTACACAGACTTCAGTATTTTTAACCTGACCTTTCGGATGCTTCCAAATCTGTCAGGAGGGTTGGGAAGATTTTGCAGGATCGAGGAAGGCAGAGCTCAGCCTTAAATACATTCCTTGCGGCTTGACGCCCACTGAAGCTTACAGTTGGAAGAAAGTGAAGGATTTCGGACATTTAGGACAGCTTCCCAGCAAAAAAGTGACCCATAATTAATTAATTAAAGCGGAGTAATACACAGTCTGTTACATTGATGTCGCATTTGAGTACCAACTGTGTTTATGACCGAGCAAAATTTTAGGCGACCTACCAGGCAAACTCTCAGACCTAAAGAAGATGAATTCTGTTTTAATTTTGCTGGACTGGCTGGGGAACACATGTTTCTGTTTTCAGATCTTGGATCTGCTTGTTTCAGAAGATATCATACCTTGGAAACTGCCAGATGTAGGTCCTTCAAGAAGTTTCTATTAGAAGAAGGAGTGCCATCCTACAGATCCCTAAAGCTGACAGGCTTATCAGCCAGTTATATTCAGCTGCTATTAGTGAGGTTGGGATTGTTCACTCTTCCACCCAAAAAAGTTGCGTTACATAACAGCATACAAGGGCCTGGCCAGAATAGAGGCAGACATAAAAGGATTTCCAATTGTCTGGCCTGAGCCCCAATATCTCTATCCCATTGGAGCCAATGTTTGCACTAATTACTTTTGTGCTGAGGGATCTGCTCAACATTTTGCCCACACAGATGGGCAATTTTGTAGATGGGTTATTGGGTAAAGCCCTTCACGTTTTTTTCATAAGCCGGAGAGGAAAAATTTCTCGTCAATTTTTTTCTTGCCATTTTTATGGTAGGAACTCAATTTGCCTGTCCCATCTACCACCCTGTGCTTGGCTAATGACAAAATGAGATCTGCCACCTGCTGCTTGTGGCACAGTGATAGTGCGTTCAGGTAATGACTTCTTGTAAATGGAGGCTAATTCTCACAACAGCATGACTGTGTCTTTCTCTTATCTCCTTATTTTATTTTTGTTTTTTAGCTCTTGCTAATCTTTCATGGAAAGATTGGCTCTTAGCTGAAGATGATGCCATCCTTTAGACCAGATGGAGTCATGCTTCCAGAATTAGAGACTGTTTTTTTCCCCTCGAGGGACTTCACTAAAAGGAATCACAATGCAAGGCACAAGATGTCAAAGAACATGTCCCGAAGAAGGCCCACAGTATACCAAAATGTGGCTGTCTTTAATTGTGGAAGTTTTCTGAAGTCACTTCCAGCATTTAATAATGTAGTAGCAATGTGTTTGTTTGGAGTCGACTACATTTTAGTGCTTATCTGCATGTTAAGAATCATCGCAAGAAAGTTAACCAGAAGTACAGATTTTTTCTTTTCTTCTCGAATTAATTTGGGACATTCAAAGTCCTAATTGCTCAGTTGTGTAGTTTTTCATCCCTCAAAATCATACACACCCTGGATCCAGATTTACCCGTAGATGTTTGGATGTTTGTTAGAAATGACAACGGCAAAAAGAAAAATTTGCCAGCACTATCGAGCGAGTTCCTTTTAGGGCCTGCCCCGTCTGAATGTATCTACCCTATGAGTGAACATTTTTAATCATGGCATTGATTTTCTGCAGCATCTAGACAAGCATACCCCCCACTCTCATTCTCTAGGGTTGTTTCTGTCGTTGGTTTGGCAAGCTGCATGAGAACATCATCCCAGATGATGGATCTTCTATGATGCCGCTCATCAATATCTCTCCGTCTGGGAGGTATTTTCACCCTTCCATCTGAAACTCACCGGCGTAATGATGGTATATGGAACTAACACAGCTCTCCAGCGTTTCCAGTACCCATAGAGCTGTTTTTCCAAATGAAGGAGAGAAGACGAATGTTTCTGCCCTCCTATACAAATTTTCCAATGTCTGATGAATCAATTTCATCCCCTTTTTTTTGTTATTATCCTCCACTCTGTTACAAGAGCCGTTTTGGTTATTTCGTCTCTCACCATTTATTGGTGCTTACTGATGAGCTTTCCTAGATGGGGCTGTTAATTGAGCAAAGGTCGTGTGTCCTTTTTAGTCGTGCACACCGGCTGACAACTGCAAACAATTTCATGAGCAAATATCACTTTATACTGCTGCCGTAACCCCGGAATGGTAAATACTCTGGTCCTGCATTTTTTTTTTATCAATCAGATAAGCCCATGGTAGCCCAACTGGGCTGGTTTCTCAGTCCCTGTCAGTGTAAGATGCCTGTTTGGGCTGAAGTTAGAGCCCACCAAATATTCACAGATGGTCCGCTTTGGCTTGAAAGCTATCGCGTGATGCAATCTTTTGGAATTGCGGGTTAGTGGAAATACCAAACTGCCTTTTTTAACCGAAGTCTGATGGTTGTGTCGGTTCTTGTATATCGAACACCGTATGCTAATTGACAAATGGAGCACGTAGGTGGGATCTGATTGTGAGCTACCTGGTCTGAATTAGCGGGTAAATAAACATTAACTCTTGAAAAACACCATCCTGTTTTTTTCGGTGGACACAGCATAGCATCTGATAAAGGAAAGGAAGGAGTAACTTAATGCTCTGTCCGGTGTTGGAACTTTGCCTCTCTTGAGATAAATAGAAATTGGGACTTTGCGTGCAGTCTTACATCGATGTCAGATCACTGGAAAGCTTCAAGGACAATTTAGGCAGGTTGTTGTCACAGTTGACAAGTTTATGAAAGTATTTTGTAAATATGTATCGCTGTGTAATTTGATGCGTACTTGGTAATGCTGACATCGTGCACCATTATTCACTTACAATATACTACATGTACATGTCAGCCTGCGGGTTTTTTGTTTGCCTGCAAAGTTGCATGTTTTGACTAATTACATACGCGTAGTTGTGGGAATCTATTTTGAGTCCTCTACAGCCTAGCAAATGCTTTCTTTGCATTGAAGGCTAAATGGTTCGGGTAGAGTTTGAGAGATTCATGAAACTGTCTGAAACTGTCTAACCAAATTCCACATTGGAGATGGAGACAAACAAGTAGGATTACAAATCATCCTTATCACCGATTATGATTGGTCTCTGATTCTGAAACCATTGTTATACTTTCATCTCAGTTACCGTTATTGCTACATGTACCTGTAAAAGGTGAAATGGTCACTGTTTTATCTGGTTTTTCATCTGAAGTCCCTTTTTATGGCATCATTAATGTTTGGTTTTGTGATAAACTTGTGAATTTTTCTCTCAGGGTATGGTTGATTTGTAACATTCTCCAATTGTCTTCGTCTGGATTTTGGAACCACGACTAAAGTTCTCTGCCTTGTTTTTGTGGGTGTTTGTGCATACGTGCAAGTTGTTACTCCCTGATTTGTTCACAATTGTCTGCTACACAACGAGAGACTCCTTAATTCGTCAACTGTGATCGAGAAAGCTCTGTGATGTATTCGGGCTAGTGTTTGTTTCAATTTTTCGGATGTCCCACTTTTTTGCTGTTTTAGCTTGTAAAAAAGGCCATGTATAGGTGTTAGAGTGTCTGAGAGTTGTGGAATTGGTAGGTTTTGGCTTCAGATGGGATATTTTGAAGCTTACTTTTGTCTGTGCTGTTAAAAATGGCCGTGGTTCTCCAGGTTAAGCATAAGTAATCTGCAGTAACCTTGGTGTTCAGATATTTCTCATTCCTATATTTCTGCCTTTTCTCCTTTAGATTCGGGGTCGAATTCGGTCATCGTGAAGCGCGAACCACCGGACGACGGTTATGATATGTCCCCACAGTACAGCAGCCAATACACACCTACCAGTTCCATTGGCAGCACTTCCAGCTCAAGCACACATATCAAGGAGCAGCTACCCGACGGAGGGTTCGGACTGACCAAAAAGCGGAAAGGACCGGCACCCAGGATGGACTTAGAGTTGTGCTTGGTTTGTGGGGATAGGGCATCAGGGTTTCATTACAATGCACTCAGCTGTGAAGGCTGTAAAGGTGGGTGTAACAACTTAATTGGTTCCCTGTCCTAGCAGTCCTTGAAATCTTTCATTCGAGGACTGGTCACCACAGCTACCCTACAAAATAAATTGCACGAGGTACATTGGGATATCCTAATGTTCTGTGTTACGATATGACGTTGACTTGTCTGTCAGAATTTAAACGTAGCTTCATCAAGGGTTGTGCAAAAGTGGCAGTGTCAGTGACATAGTGGGGTGGAGAAACATGCAGAGAGAGGCTTTCAGAGACATGTTGTCCCCTTTATTTAGGAATTATAAGCACCAGCTCTGTGGAAATGGTACCTGCATCTGATATTGGGAAGGGGTTTAGGGTTTTTACCGGGGAAAAAAGCTTCATTTTGTCTCCCCTGCCCCGTCGCCTGACCAAAGATAGGCCACTGATAAGTATTCAAAACACATTGAGAAAAATTCTCTGAAGGTAGATCAGAGAAAGAAAGGGGTGATCTGTATCCTGTCGATATCTAGCGACCATAAACGATAATAAGGGGAAATCGATGGTAGAAGCTCAGGGATTCAGACTCAAAAATGTTCAGAAGTCTGTTTTGGTCATGTGACCATAGTGGCCACCTGACATAAAGTTTGTCAGGGATAGAATCTTTTTAAAATGCCAACTCCCCCTTTCCCCACTGATTTCACAACTTTAAGTAGGAAATTTATAAATGTATCCCCCTTCCTCACCCAAGGCACAATATTGTATGCTGAATTACCCCTTGAACATGTAGGAAGCACCCGCTAATGGATTTGCAGCATTATCTATGAGGCAGCCATAAGCTTGGTACAACAAGGTTGGGCCAAGAGTGTTAGACCTACATGTACACGTACTAATGGAAGTACATGATTCAATTTTACGTAGTTGGAAGGCTGTATCGTGTGCCAAGTGTTTACAAAAATCCTGTGTTTTGGTAATGTCCTACCAACTTTCCATGTGCGAAAGCAGACCGAAGTCATGTGTATTACTTAAAAGTATCACAACAGGCTGTATCAGAAAGTTATCATTTCCAGTGCAGTATGATGATCACATTGAGTCAGATAAGTCAAGACCACCTGTTTTGCCAAGTGGTATGTATGCTTTACCACTAGGCAAAGTGTTGTAAGGATACCATCACTTTACACAGGTCTTGACTCCCAATTAATACATCTGTTCCAAGTACTCGGGTAAAAGTGAAGCATACCGCACCCCTGTTAAATTTACACTTGTCAAGGAAGGTTCCTAGAATTTGCTAGTCAGTGTAAAGCAATCTGGACACCTTTAAATTGGTGACGTATCTACATCATCAACCCAGTCCGTTTTATTCCAGGAACTCTCCTGCATCAACATGTACTTTGATGTGGCATTCAGCATTACTCGTGCCATGTTCACTGTACTCAAAAATGAGGACTTCCAATAAGTATACCAGGCTCGTTTACTGTCCTGATTATATCCTAGTCATTCAATTCAAAAATTCAAGGAGAAGAGTTGGGTGTAACAGGGTCTAGATTTGATGACAGACGGCATTAGAAACTCAGCAAGGTTCTGGAGAGTACAGTGGAATCTTTTCCCCTGCTTTGGCCATCAAACGGAGGACATTTTTGTTGCCTCGTTTACCTGCTGCAGTGCAGTCCTACAACTTGATACTTTGAGACCAGATAATAGCTGGGCCGAAGGGGAAAAAAACATAGTTGTCTGTTTACTCCATGCACCCTGCAATATTTGGCATGTCTTTGTGCATTGTTTGCAAAGTCTGCCGTGGTCGGGCAATTATGTGAATACTCCAATGTACAGCAAATGTCAAAAGGCTTTGCAAACAAGTGATAACAAGCCCTTGTGCTTGGTTTCGGTTGAGCAGTGGGCATGGCATACTCAGTAAAATGTCGAACACGTGGATTCCAAGTAATTTGAATTATGCAGCTCACTATCCCTCCCACAAAAAAAGAAAATGAAGTTGATCGTAAATATAGAATATAAAAGTAAACAAAAATACAAATAAGACATTATGCCGCAAAAATGAGGGTCAAATCTCAAAGACCAAGTTATGAGATATTGGCATCATTTATAGAGCAGGAGGCATGAGTGGATGGTATATTTGAATGTTCGGCAATTTGTGTTAAGTATTGTAATAGTTTGGTTCTACAAATTTTACTGTAAAGGTGACAAAGTTTAATGTTGCACAAAAATGACCACTGCTACTATCCATTTACTGTTAAACATAAGGGACCTAAGCTCTGGAAGTCCTTCCCTAGTCAACTTGAAGCTTCCACCAATCTGTCTTGAAACAATTAATTAAATATACCACAATTCAAACATACCCTTAATCATGCCTGTGTTTAACTTACTTCATTTCCTGTACATGTAGTTTTGATAAGCCTGCTTATCAGTAGTGCATGTTTTGTTGTTTGTGTTTACATGTACTGTGTGTGTATTGGATGTCTCACTTGTATTTGTATTTCCCATTTATGATAATGTTTAACGTAACGGGCTCATGCTAAAAAGCTTTGCTTCCTAATGAGCTCCCCTGCAGTGTCTATAAATGACATTGCTAACTATTTATATGTAATCTGAATACGGATACTGGAGAATAAACTTGAAGAAAAATTTTAAGGTCCACCTTTCCTCATTCCCAGGGGTCGATAAATTTGTTTCGGGGGGGGTGGAGTGAAAAAAAATTAACACAAACCTGAAAACAAATCAGATGAAAAATTGGAAAAAAAATCCAAATTATTTTCTTATTGTTGATTGGGTTTCTAGGTTTCTTCAGGAGAAGTATAACAAAGAACGCCATCTACAAATGTACACGAGGTGGCAACTGTGAGATGGACATGTACATGCGACGGAAATGCCAGGAGTGTAGGCTACGAAAGTGCCGAGAGGTTGGCATGTTACCGGAATGTAAGTAGCAGGCTTTAGAATTATTCACGCCCCCCCCCAAAAAAAGGGTAGGATTCCGTTTGAGAAATTTAAGTTCCCTGAATAGGGATTACATTTCCTGTGAAATAACACAATGTTGTCGGTACGATGAAGTCCTTTTTGAAAAATTGCACTGAAAGGTCCTTATTGAAATAGGTTACTTTCAACATGAATTCGGGTAAGAGGATTTGATGCAATTTATGTATACTTCCCCCTAAAAAAAAATGAATACAAATACAATAGTCTGGAACACTCGCTGTTTGAATCAAATATAGAATAAGACCGTAAGAGTATTTGCCAAAATCATGTGACTGCTGTGAGGACCTTTAGTACCACTCCAATGACAGGTATCCTATCGAGACATCCAGTTTTGCGTATGAATTGTTTTGTTTTGCGGTAATCATCCTGACTTCATAGCCACAAGGCTGAATTACGAAGGATGAAGCTATAACGTGGTCAAGCGGAAGGCATGTAAAGCTTTCTTAGCTGGCTACCAGATGGCCCATATCTAACTGTAGAACACAACCAGATATCGGAAGTGTTCATTTAAAAACCAGAGAACCTGAAGGAAAACTACAAGTGGCTGAGGGAAGAATCAAAGGACAACTCTACTCACATATGGCCTGGACTGGGAATCGAACCCGGTTCACGATAGTGAAAGACAAGTGTTTTATGCACTGGCCTCCCATGTCACCCAAGAAGTAAATGAAGATTTAGTTTTGCAACTTTCCTCAAAATAGTGATAAAAGTCTGCTGCTGCTTGGAGGATATAATGCAGTTTTAGTAGCTGGATAGTTGAAGAAGTTTCCCCAAAATTAACTCTTCGATCCTCTCCGGTGCAGGCTTGCTAACGGAAGAGCAATGCAAGTCCAAGCGGCAACGCAAGATGATGCGGAAAGCCCAGGCTCAGGCCGGCATGAGCCCCCAGCAGAGCGAAGACGAGAGCCCCATGCTCACTGAGGAGCAGCGGGAGATCATCGAGAGGCTGGTCACGGCGCACAAGGACCTGGAGGTCCCCGGGCCAGAAGACTTGAAGAGTTTAACAGTGAGTCACAGACAGTTTGAAAGCTGTCCATTTGTAACATTTCCCGTCCTCTCGCATTTTAGTCTGATTTCAGTTGTGACCTCTTGTAACAGATCTGTTCGTAAAAGTGCAGTACGAGCTGTTCTTGCATATTGGATAGTTTCATGCTCATCGCAAGTCCCTACAAGTCCGTAACAGGCCATCCAGTCACTAGGAGAATCACAAACTACTCAAATAAACTGAAAGGCTCTTCTTTTGTCACTGTTTACCCATTTACTTGTGACTGGTCTTACGAAAGGACCTGTTACAGGTCTTGTGAAAAGACTTATGAAATGAAAGGAATCTAGTAGGAGGAGAGCCCCAACACCCAAATACCAAAGTCCTTACAGTAAAACTGGCAAGCTTATGCTTTCACAAAACTTCCCTGTCTGTTTTTGGGAGGCCTCAGATGACAACATGTTACCAGATATGATTTATTGGATGTTCCTGTTCAGACTTTGCCATGGAAACCTTGTAAAAGGTTACTCCAGGGGCATTGCTGTAGCGAAGTGAGCATTTTGGTAGAATCTACTAACAGCTGCACTGAAAACGAAACCAAAAAATCATTGTGTTTCTGATGTAAGGCATCTTTTGACTACTTTATTGAAGTGAAGTGAATTCACAACCAATACCCAATCAAGTTTGCTATTATGGACAAGAACAAAATCCGTTAAGTCGTTGTTGTCATGAATGTTCCACAATGTCAAATTTCAACTAGCGGTCACTTGTTACGTGAAATTTGTATTTTGGAGTTTCTTGCAATTTATCTCTCTCCTGGAAGCTGATGTCATTGGAATGTTGTAAAGATGCTTTTCCAGCAAAATCTTTCAATTTCATGTTGGCAACAATGTACCTTATTTTGTCTTTCAGCCATGGATGGAAGAGCAGGGCAAGGAAGATGTAAGTAATTTTTGCTAATTTTGTCCCATATTTTCATTAGTACCTTACATATACGGCTACATTGTAATTTAATAATTTCATGCAGTTAGGTTGCAATCGAAAACCAAAAGGCACTGTCTTGACACCGGTGAACTGTTTGTGGGAGATGACTTTCATTTCCTTGTGTTGACGATTTCTTCATTTACAGCCTGCTGCCTGAATTGAAGCTGGATTAGTGCCAATTTAGCCTTTTTTGCTAATGTCAAATGGAGTTCTTCTATTGCTTGTTTTTGTTGTGTTTGTTTTTTTTCTGTTTACAGTGATAAGGTTTAGAAAGCCACGCAGTCCTGTAGGCACAGTTTCCAACACTGTCAAACATGATTTTTGTGTCTATTTCACGAAACCTGTGAGCAGAAGAGCCGCGAAATATATCAGACCTGCCAACATGCTGTCCTCCTTCCTGGGGTCAGGGATTACCACACAATAGAATAAAATTTTAAATGAATTGAAGGTTCATTGAAATACCTTTTAATCTATTGTGTGGTAATGCCTGACCTCAAGATGGAGTACTGCTGGGTTGGCAGGTCTGATATATGCCTACAATTACTTCTAACATATTGGTGCAATATGGCGTATTGACATCTGGCCAACCAATCAGTATTGCACAAATTGAGCAAGCCGGCACCCTCTAGAATATGCCTTACTCTCACTTTCCACCAAGTTAGATCGTCGTTTGTGTCTGTGGTCTTTTAATTTGTTTTCTTTCCACTCAGTTTTTATCGATCGTGTCAAGCTTTGAGTACCATTCTTTCCTTTCTAATATACTGGAGGGGTATAATCCTTAGATAGAATGTAAAGTCACTGCACTAGGCTGCATGCACAAATACCCCCCTTCTAGCCCAAAGGAGAGGGGTTGAGTCAATTACGATTGCTGCTGTGTGCTTAATACTCATGTCAAGAATGAAGTAATTTGTGCACATTCAAACGAAAAGTGGTCACATACACTCTGCACCATACTCGTGGGATCCATAGGAGGGTGTTGCTGGTTACTTGCTACATAAGGGTAGGTTGATACTTCAGGCGAATGCACAAGGGAAACAAGTTTGATTTTGGTTGATGTCACTGAGTTTCGGTCGAGTTTGAAATATGTTTTACCTTTGCACATTCACGGCTCAAACATTTGATTTATCCTCACAAAATCACATTCATGTTTTCTTTCACCACCAAGTATGAATCAGCCTTACCAGGGACCTTTGCTTAAATACGGACATGGAATCCAAACCCTCAGATTTGGATGTTGCAAGGTTGTCTTTTTGCCACTGCAGTAAGCCACCTATTCTGGCCGGCCTTTGTACAGTCAGTATTGCAGAAGGTTGCTTTCTGGCCCATGTTACCATGGTATTTCCTCTAAGTCTCTGTGCCAGTTGGTGGTTGGAGGTGTTTTTTTTTTGGTGTGGTGGCCCCCTTGTTTTTCAATCCCCCATGCCCTGTTGTTCTCCTCTGCAGTCGACACAGGCATGCCTCGGAGAATGCCCCTCGGGAAGTAACCTTAAGCCACCCAAGAAGAAAGAGACATATGCAGAAGGAGCGGGAGGGGTACGTAAGAGTAGCCCGCCCACTATGAAAGCCCCACCCTCCAAATGCCTGGATGCCTATTGAAAGGAGGGACCTGTTGAATATTTATGTCCTAATGTGCATGACTTATGCATACCAATTTGGTTACTAGGGGGATTTTGCTTCACTGAAAGTTGCTGTAGGTTGCAGTGAAAGAGTTCAGAAGTTACTTTCAGTGTCATTCTACTGAGAATATGCCTGGTTGTCAGTGCTGTCAGAGGAATCAAACTCATTTGCATATTATATGCAAATGAGGCTGACCTTGCATATTTAAAATTTATTTTTGCTGCATCCCCTTCAGCATCTGCCTGCTTCTTTTTTCAACTTCATTTAGTGGTGGTGAGTTGGGGTTGGGAAATTTTCATTGAATACATTAACCTATTTCATGCATCGGCGATCATACATTCACTTCAATTTACTGTAGTCAACCCAAACTAAATCATCCGACCAACTGAAGCATGCATGACAGCCATAACCTACAGAGTGGTAAAGGGCAGGACTTGACTGGGCAAAGCAAATTATTACTCAGCAGAGTGGGGCACCAACCAAATGTCATGCATTCTCAGTAGCTTTTGACTGGTTACCAGCTGATTTTTGCTTTAAAGAAATCTGCTAATCTTACAGACTTTGGTAAAAGCTTTAACACTGGACTTTCAACTGTTGTCACCTAAATAAAGTGTGCCAAACTTTGGCTTGACGGAGAATAGCAAGAATAGACCAAAATGTGACCTTTTTTGAAGGCCTTTTCACAGTCCCTTTTGGTTATTTCCTTTCCAACAAATCCACAGATATTAATTCCTGTCTCGGTAATTTTTCTCTTTCCTGTTGACTTTGACTTTGTCAGGGGAGCGACGATGGGACGGAAGATATTCAGCTGCGGTTTGCCCACATCACAGAGCTAACCATCCTGACTATACAACTGATAGTGGAGTTCAGCAAGAGAATACCAGACTTCCTGGGCCTTGGCAGGGAGGACCAGATTGTCTTATTGAAGGTAGGCAGGTGCCCAATTTTCTGGAGGAGGGGGGAAGACAAGGGTGCCTGAGGGGGACTGTGCTGTGATGGTGTCCTGCCCTGTCTTTTTCTGATGGGGCCATGGTTCAGACTCCACTGAGGGCAACCATGCTGATTGGGTTTCAATCTCTTATTTGACAAGCACTGTTATGAGTGAAGATTACCCTCAAAGAAGTCTGTTTGGAAAGAATCATTCCAGGGGAATGTAGCAAGTATTTCTTACTTATAAAAAAAATATCAAACTTTGATGGAATTTGTTCCAGCTATATGTGACTTCCAATTTTTTGTCTTGAAAGGACAGTGATGACCATTATAAAGTTGCGATTGCTTACAGTTCGACTAATGCACTGACAAATACTTGCATGTGATGTCGTGGAACATCTTGGCAGAAAAAAAAAACACTCAGCCAATTCTATTGTAAAACAAAACATGTTGGAACCAGTTGCACACAGATTACAGTACTTGGTATTTTAGCTGGTAATCTGTTGTTGCTTAGACTGCAGTGAAAGCATGCTTTGATAAAGTGAGTTGAGTTGTCCAATGAGCAATGGGTGTTGTTAACGAGAAAGCAAACAAAAGGTACATGTATAGTGTGGCCTTTTGCCGTTATGCTCAAGAGACCACACTGATGCAGTGCATGTCCATGGCTGAGCTGAAAGCGAGTTTGGACTGGCAAGTCGCTTTGTTTTGCAAGTGCAGCCTTGCTTTGGTTTCACTGTGGCAGTGTCACTCAGTCCATTTTGATATGGTTGGGGGCAGGGCTCTGCCATCGAGGTGATGCTGCTGAGGACGGCACTGCGATACGACCGGGAGCAGGATGCCATCATGTTTGGCAACGAGCAGCCCTACACCCGCAAGCAGCTGCAGGAAGGCGGCATCGGCGACCTGGTGGACCCCATGTACAACTTTGCCCGCAGCATGTCAGAGCTGGACCTAGATTACGCTGAGTATGTCCTGTTGATGGCAATCACCATACTCTCTTCAGGTACCGAAGGTTCTTATCTTTCCATTAGTCAAAGCATCCAATTAATTTTGGGGGGAACGTACCACCTTGTCGCTGTTATTTATAAACAACCCATCCTGCTTGATGCATAGATGATTCCAAAATGTTACATCACTGCATTCATCATAAGAACTGCTCATATAACATACTACACCCTGTTGCTACACAGTAGCATTATTTGATTAATATACATGCGATTGCCTTAGATTACTCTGAAAGCCCCAGTTTGCTCAGAAGAGACAAACTTGTGGGCAAAATCATTTGGCTCATGGCAAGCACACACCAAGACCGTGCCTACCAACAAAAACTGGTCACAGATGATCAGTGGGTACCCACCGACTGCATAAACCTGTGCGTGCACAAGGTGTTTTCCTGCCAAATGGACATTTTGGACAACGGGACAATTTTTATTCACTGTCGTGACGCGGACCTTGCAACTTTATTTGCCATCCATGCTGAACAAACTTGTGCACTACAACAAAGAGGAGAGGTAAAAATGACAGAGTGAAAAAAGCAAGTGTCACCTTACAAGCTAAATAGTTGCTTTGCCATATCAGAGTAGTTCATGTGTTCAGTACTGTGGGAACGATTCTTTATTGTCATAATTCTTAGTTTGATCCATTTCAGCTAAACAGATTCTGTTTTGGGGGTTTTTTCTTCGATATCAATGACAGACCGGCCGAGTGTGGAAGACCGGGAGAAAGTGGAGGAGGCACAAGAGAAATACCTAGACATGCTGACGGCTTACTTGAAACTACGGAGGCCCAAAGAGACCCTGATTCTGCCCAAAGTTCTCATGAAACTCACCGAACTGCGCTCCTTGAACAACAGCCACTCAGAGTTACTGTTCCAACTCAAGCTGAAAGACCAGCGCATCCCACCGCTATTGAAAGAGATCTGGGACGTGCAGTAACGGATGCTTTGGGGGTGTTAGGGGTAGGGTTTGGGTAGGTAGCAGGAATGGGATTTGTGTGTCAGGGGACCAGTGACTCTTCAAGATTATCTGTATAAGGACGACCGGCTCAAGCAATGTGTCGAGTACGAGCCACACTTAGAAATGTAGATGTTCCGCCAGACAACTGCACCTGAAATGGGAGGACAACTGACCAAACTGTGTGGGTGTTGACGTTGATGTGCCGTGAAGTTGGACAGCACAAAATGAGCATCATCATCAGCTTGGATCTCGGGACAGTGCACAAGTTCCAGCACTGGTTTGGCGCAAAGCTCTTCTGTACAATTCGCCAGTGACCCGGGCACAAACTATACTGACATCCTGCAGGACCTTTTTTTTTCTTTATTTTTGACATAAAGGCTGAATTGGAGCTACTTCGAATTGTCTCCACAGAATAGCAGGATTCATTACGTGCACCATACATGTGAGTAGTTCTTCTCTCTCGTTTTATACCTGAATCTGCAAGGGTCAACTCCAGAGGGCACTCTTCTCAACCTGACTTGCATTAAGGATCTGCGAGGGACACCACAAGTTGTACATTTCGAGGCCAAAGCCCAAAGCACATGGTGATGTTCTAATGAAACTTTTGTTCATCCATGACTGGCCACAGGAGGGCCCCAGAGTGAATTTCACAGCATCAGGATGCCAAGCGATCTTTTTTCCCGGGAGCTAGACACTGTTCGTGGAATTTGAGTTACGTAAAGATCATGGAGAAGAAAGTACTGTTAAGTCCCAGGCACACTGAGCACATGTAGTTGACCATTACTGACTGCTGGAGGGCGCCAGACTCAGTTTACTTCAAGTTTTCAGTGGCAAGGGCTAACCTGTCGGGTCATGTGGAAGCTGTGCTTATATCTGCCTGAAGCATGCAGGGGTAACTTTCCAATGCTGCACACACTCTGTCCCAGCTGCTTACATTTCAGTGCTAGAAATGAGGCTTGCCAAAGGCCACTGCTGTCTTAAACCTCCTGCAAACATTCAACCAGTCACCCACAATGGCCCATACTGGTCTGGCACCCTGCCCCAAGTTTGTCCTCCCTCCCTGGGCAGGAAAAATCATCTCTAACTCACGTTCCCACCCCCTTCATCTGAATAGCCTGAATTAGCCCTAACCAAGTCATCAGCCAGAGGGATAGGTTTTTCAGACTTGTATACCAACAGAGGGCACTATTCGTAACAAAAAACAGTCCCCCACTGTAGAGTTGGTACTTCCACACACAGTAGAGAATAATGGTGGGGTTTTGGTTTTAATATGCAACATAGTTTTAGCATACAAAATGGCAGAGCAGAAGTTTGAATGTCTCGGTGTGATAATAGGTATTACAGTAAGAGTCTAATATCTTTTTCTTTTTTAAACAATTCATTTGCTGTGGTTGGGGCTCTTTAAGACTTGTACATAATCGAATGAATTTTAACTGTTACAGCCACAGAATGTAAGTACAAATTCACCAAGACAAACTGATTGTCTCAAGAATGCCAATGTTGATAATGCTAATATATGAATGGAAAATCAAAACGATGTAAGTTACATTTCCCCCACTTTTTTTTTTTTTTTTTTGTTCTTTAACATGATTAATTTTTAGACCCGGTGCCAAATGTAGTGTCCCGTTTTAATCCGAGGTGCGGTCTTTATATAGAGTTTTCTTTTCTACGTCGACTGCTTTTCCATTTCTGTCGTTTTTATAGAGTAGAAGCACCTATGCACTTTCTTACTATTGTATGTGAATGCTCCTCCAAATCCCCCGTGAGGACCAACTTGTAGCATTGCAAATTGATAGTGTCCTCTTGTAAACAACTTTTTGTATCCAAATTAACAGCAATATGTATCTGTGATTAACAGATAAAACCAAATTACCCAAACTAACCTGTTATACCCTTTTATCAACCGAACTAAAGAACCCGAATGACATGGGGAAGAATAAGTGATGTCAGATATGCCACTTGTCTTGAAACTTAGACTTAGTGACGGTGTGTCACTTATGGGAAAACTGTCGAGGGACATCTCAGGCCAAGTTTGATCTGCAACCGTTTGTTGACCTGTGCACAGACTATGTCCCGGGCCAAATCGACCAGTGTTTTTTTTTGGCTAAATGATCACTGATGGAATGTGGTCTAGTTTGGCCAGTTATGCTGCTGAACAACCGTGCTGCCTAGGGTTTTCACCAGATTTGTAGTGGTCATTGTTTCTCTGTGTAGTGCAGTTCTGATCTGTCTGCAACCAGGCGTTTCAGACAAAAAAAAGCATCCCAGTTCATTTAGTCTTGGGGATATACAGCTATGTGCAAAACAGTGAGGTGAAAGATCATTTTTGTCTGGTTCCCAAGTAAGTCACTGTACTTTTGTAATGGATATAGATGAACATCACCAGACTGCCTTGCTTTTCCTCCTGTAACATGTTCATCATTTTGGGGTCTGAATTTCTGAGAGCTTTGCATGCTGATCATTTGTTGGACCTTAACCGACCTTCAACTTCTCAAGTCTGATTTCAAACATTCCAGAAATAGAAGACAAACCCTCCACACACCAGAGGATGCAGAAGAAAATTCTGCTTGGTTTGGACAGATCAGATAATGCATGGTGTATATGTTTTCTGATACAGATTATATTTTTTCCCCCATAACCCGTGTTCTGGTTATGGATGGCTTTATTGTATACAGGCAACCATGTTAGGATAACATGGAAAACAGGTTTTCTGCATGTAGATTGAAGGCAGTGTGTGTATATAATCTCAGTGATGAGATTTTCGTTTTTCTTGTCTCTTGCTTTGCCAGGGTTAGTCACCGTAAGTAGATATTGCAAAGACTCCCATGAACATTGAAGAGGTTTACTTATCACAAGTACATGATTTAAAAGGAGTGTCATGCATTAAGTCTTTTTGGGGGGTTGTTGTTTAAAGATATGGGGGGGGTGGTTTGGTTAACCAGATTAAAGGAGCTGATCTGAGCTGGCTTGGACCAGCAGGTACAACACTTTGAAGGGGTAGGTCATTTTCCTGCCCATTCTGGTAAGACTGTAGTTTGTGCAGTAGTTTTTCTCTAAAAGTCAGGGGTGAAACACGGAAAGTTTTCAAATTGAGGGCCATTTGGAGATTACAGTCATCTCCAAACTTGGAAAAGCTCCAGTCTCCTTCAGAATGCTCCCCTTGACACACAGGTTGTTTTCAGCGCTAACAAGCTGGTCTCGTACCTGCATAGATCAAACGTTTGTAGTGAGAACAGCCTGCTTCTCTAATCGGGCTCTTAGTATTCCAAATTGGGCATCCATGTCGCGAGTTCTCGGACCCACTGACCATACCAGAAATTTTTAGACACGTTGTATTCCAGTGGATTCTGCCTCCGAGAAAAAAAAAAATGATTATGCATGTAGTTTATGAGTAGCCGACTGCCATAACTTTTAACGTTTCCCTTCATGACACTGTAATGATTGTGTTAACTCTATGATAGACTGGAGTAGAAACGGTTCTCCAGATTTTTTCCTGTGCTTCCTCGGTTGTTTTTACACGACATTCTTATTTTAAGATGCGTCTTGTAAATACCGATTTTTTTTTTTTTATTTTTTTTTTACTTTTCCCCCAATTCACTGTTTGAATGGGGGGAAACTCTGTGGTGTAAATGCAATGGTGATATTTTTATGTTTACGTTCAATCTGTTGATGTTTCATAATTTTATGCTTAAAAAACTGTAAGCAGTTAAATTGATGCTGTCGTAGCCGTTTTGTTTTATTCTTGGAGTAAAAGGTTATTCTTTCATGAAAAAGTGCAGATCCTAGCCTTGTGGCCAAATAATGTGAGTAAACAGTTTCAACTAAACTCCTAAACCATGCATTTTTACACAATTTTGTTTTTACATTTGTTGTCAAGTCACTTGGTAGCAATCTTATTTTTTTTTCTCTCCAAAATAGCAATATAAAAATTAATGAAAGTCTCCCACTGTTCACACAAATTTTATCAGCACTTGTGGTGGTTGATTACGTAACTATGTGCCAAAATATAATACACAAGAGTACAGGAAATGGGAGATCAGGATTCAGAGTATCCCCTCATGTCCAGGCTAAACATATTCTGCCCAAATTTCTCAAAGGTTACAGAAAAAGAAAGCTACATTCAGATAAATGGTGTACCAGGAAAACCTTATTTTCTTCAAAGTACGCTGTAACATTTATGTCACATCGAGGTGATTTGGTAAAAACCTAGCGTAGACAAGAAAAATTCATGATTGCACATGATTCTTTACCACTCACCAGTGCTTGGTTGAACGTTTATCTAAAGTGTACATTTTCAATGAACGTTTTCTACATTGAGTTACATTTTCTGTTCCTTTGTGGACATTAAAAATGAGGCAGTGTGTGTAAATAAAGTAAAATTACACCCATAGTACGTGTTTCTCTTTGTGTCATTTTGCGTGTTCCACAGAGAATTGACAGTTGACAGGAATTTGTCGCTCAGTATAAAGACATCCTTAGAAATAGCAATGCTTTGAGAGGTTAACAAAAACGGATGAGGCTGATAATATTTCTTAGCCTGAAAAAGAGAGCAGCACAAGTGTCTTTCATTAAAGAACCCGAATTGAAAATGTACAAGGGCCAATCGTAACCAACTTCATTCATGACCTCTGGCAGTCCAATTTGCTGTTTCTTGCTTGCCTTCCCACGGCGTATCTACACAAATAGCATTTATCTGGCTAAACTTTGTAGGGCGTCATTAAATGATTTGTAGAAACGAGAAGAATGACGTGCCGAAATCTACTGGCTACATGTACATGTACGTTTGAAAATTTCGGTCTGCGGTTGACACATGGAAGCCACTGGTTGGAAGGTTTGTGTCATTTCTTATAGAAGCATGTGACCTTGTACACCACAAATAAGACTTTGGAATGCACCCACACTATTACAATATCAAGCCAACTCCACTCACAAAAATGACTTTAGGCATTTCAGCTACAACACAAAAACAAAAAAAACACTCCTTGCACTTCAAAAGAAAAGCTTACATCTGTTAAGCTACGACATGCCAATTAAGCAAGAACAATCCAACCAGTTGCCCATAATTCATTAATTACAAAAATCCCAAGCATTTCAGTTGTGAAGGGGATCCTGTGCTCCTAACAAGGAGGAAACTACAAACGTTATTTCAGTTCAGAACACCCCCAAAAAGTCTGGCTGTAAATCCATCTCCATCGAAATACGGCCCCAGGATGTGAACTTTCCTCAGAGACACGCAAGTGCATGTATTTCCACATCCTATGTATATCTTTTTTTAAGTGTGATGGAGTGAAGCAATCCCCTTTCACAGCTTGCTCAAACTTCTCACAGATTCATACTTCAAGTAATCAATTTCAACCTTTTTAACACAGATTAGCAGTTCTGAATAGATTTATCTGTAAGAATGAGCTAATGAATACAGAGAAAAGCTAAATGGATTCGTCAAATGGAGGCACAATGCGACCTTTCAACTTTCTTGGATCATTTGATTTGTGTTTGATTTCATCAATGCTATGAAATACAAAAAAGGTGCTGTAGTCACGTCCTGGCTCAATGAGCAGCTTAGAGTGAGAGGACTCCACGATGTGCCAAGAAACCCAAGGCATTGAGACGGTGACAGTTTCAGCACTGCTGTGCTCTGCTATGCTCTGCACAGCCTAACCAAAGTGGTAAATTACCTGTATGGGATAATGTAGCATGTCTGCCCATTCAGATCTCTACCATGTGTATTTACAGACCTATTGGCTTTACACACGTAGCAAATTTGGAATGCTTGAAGCCTTTGTTTCTGCACTCTGGGTATATACAGTCTGCCATATCATAATTTCTCACGAGCACAGCATTTTAATGGTTGTCATCGAGTTGGAGGGTTAATGGCCTATCATGCAGAGGGTATTAGTTATTTCAACACCATGATCCCATTTTGCGGGGAAAAAGCCATTTATCAGTGTTTTTGTACCATCACATGAGTCGCACTTTGAACTAATTACATAATAAAAATTGCAAAATAACAGGCTCACATGAACAATCTTAAGAAATGCTGCAATCACCAACAGTCATTCAAGTATATGCTCACAAAATAATGTTAAACAACCAGAATTTAAATTTCACTGCAATGGAAGGTATTTCCACTTACAATGAGCCAGGATATTGTAAATTGAAGGTGGAAGTTGCACCACGGTTTGGATAACTTCCTTTGGGAATACAAGAACGGCCAAGCATGTCAATTCTTGGGAAAACCAATCACATCGAGCTGAAAGCTGCCCACAAAAAAAGGCACAGTTTATACACACATATTAGGCTTCTCTCAAACCTTGTATCACACATACACTGGGAATCAAGATAGTTGTTAATATGCTGTGTTGAGATGTTGAAATGACTCTTGGAACAGGAATCTGTAGAATCTAGGCGTAACCAAGAGAGGGCGGGCACTGTGTAACCTGAATCAGTATGGTAAGGATACTCCTCAGTTCATCTGCATACTGTTTTATTTGTGTAAATGTACTTGTACCAGAATACATTTTGCAATGTGGCACCCGATGGGATCTGTAATGTGGACATTCCGTCTCATTTTAGAGGGCATTACCTTTATGTGGCCAACTCTTGCAGTGCAGATTCAATGCTTTACCAACTTGCAAGACTCTTTCAACATATTCAAAGCCAGAAATCAACTGACCAGACCAGAATTGTATACTGTCAGAAAGTTCTTAGTGCGGCAATACACACCTTCGCTTTTTTTCTTCACTTTTGTTGTCTTGGCAACGATGCCCCTTAGGACAATACAACATGTGCAATGTACTTGTTTATTCTGTCTTTATTTTTTGCGGCAATACTCACCTTCGCTTTTTTTCTTCACTTTTGTTGTCTTGGCAACAATGCCCCTTAGGACAATACAACATGTGCGATGTACTTGTTTATTCTGTCTTTATTTTCAAAAGAAGCTTGGTCAGAATGTGCACTGGCCGTAGGCTCTTGGTGTGGACATTGGCTGCAAGATGGCAGTGACAATCAAGAGCCTGCCAGGGACACTTGTCCATGGCCACAAACAGAACCATCGGATAGGCACGGCTTAAAAGCGATACACAACATGCTTTACTTGCAATCTGACAGAAGTGTTAGCTTGACAACGCCTAGTTCTGACCTCAGTCTGACAGGCATAAATGAGTGCTAAAACACGATCATGGAGACTGAAACATTTCAACACAGCAAACCTTCTGATCTTGTCTTTTTAAATACCCATCTCTTTTTTATCTCTCTCTCTCTATAGTGCAACAGATAACTTCAAAGTCTCAAGCGTCATTGATTGTTGGCTATTTGAAGGTATTGAAAGAAGAACAATTGAATTAATAATTACATGTCTTTATTTACAATCCTGAAGAAGAAGACCTCTCATTGTCCAGACTGTGAGTCGTTAGGCGGACACAGCGGCCAGGGAATTGGTGCTTTGGTTGGAGAAGCGCTGCGACTGGACCTGGTTGGAGTAGCGCTGGGGCAGGCGACGGCCCTGCGGCCCCATGGTGCGCTTGTAAGATGTCAGCTTTGGCTTAGTGATCTCCATCTGGAGGGGAAAACGGAGAAAAGAAAAGGTTGAAACTGGAATCGGAACAATGACTCTAATGCTCCAGTGTGGGCACAGTGGTTGAACATGTATGATGCGGAGTGTAGAAGATCCTGGGTTGATTCTTGCCGATGACTGCTGCTTTTGAATTCGCTTTTACATTCACTTCCCACAAAATGTCAACATTTTTTCTCCACTTGTGTGAAAAGGCATGAAAATGTTCTCCCACCTGTGTGAAAAGACGTGAAATTGTTTTTCTGCTTGTGTGAAAAGCTGTGAAAATGTCCTCTCATAATTGCTCTCCACATTTTGTGAAATCAAAATGAATCCCATGGGAAGAGCGAAAGTGTGAAGAGAATTTCCCATTCCCAGTATAACTTTCAGTTGCAATGAACTATACATGCACATGCATGTACAGTTGTGGCTGTTTTTCAAAAGAAATATGCACGAGCAAAAATGGCCAGGGAGTGTCAACTTTTTTGGAGTAATCAACCTTTTCAATATTGACTTTTATCTGTTATCCCTTTGGGGTCAAGTGGCCTACATGTACATCTGGTGCAAAAAAAAAGGCTTCTGCTCATTTCCGCACAAAAAAATGATTTTTCCTGTGCAAAGGAGTCTAGAAGCATGTCCCTACAGTGTATCAAACCATGCCAGGCATGCTTGCATTTGGAAATTTACAATGCCCAACAATCAAATATTTGATCCCTTTCCTGACAAGTTATTCAACAGTTCCACTCTTTATGGCCAGTCACACCTATCCATGTTAAAGCCCTCATATGTTCACCAAAAGTCAACCTGTATCAAGTCAATTCTCAAACGATCAAATTCAACTGTAACAAAGCTATAGCGCTGTCATCATTCGTCCCATGTGCTTGTTGCCAGATATGTAATTTGCCTTGTGATTCAACTTGTGATGGATGCATGATGGACTTGTTTTTTTTATTTGTGATTCAACCCGTAATAAACTTGTGCTGGACTCAACTACACAGCTGAAACCCACAATGGGAATTTAAGTGATTTAACCTCAGTTTATTGGACCTATGATGACAGAGAGCTAGGCTACTTTATGGCATAACCCTGTTTCTTGGGACAGTGCTCTTGAAGACTGGAGCATCATAATGAGAAGAGGGGTCAATCTCTATCATCTGTCAAGTTAACATAAAACAATTGTTGCCTGCTGTGTAGGGGTCCGTGGGTTTGGTAAACTGTGGGGGGAGGGGAAATGACACCCTGGGCTTCACCTTGAGTGCCATTTGGCCCTTGGGTGTACAAAACACCATGGACCCCGTCACAACAGTCAACAATTGGTTTGTTACACCATGTTCATAGATTACACTTTTGTGTGTAATTTATGCATATTTCACTGCAAGATAAATGAAAAAAAATAGACGAATTCAAACCCTTGAGCAGCAAATTAGATACATAATAAAAAGGAAAATTTAAAATGATTGTGCTGTCCTTTGTTGAGCTGTGTTTTGTTTTTGTTTTGAAAAGAGGGGAAAATGTAGGATTTAAACCTAACTGGTTTACAGAGAAAACTGGGATTCATAAGGCACTGGGTTTTTGTAAACTGATTGAATTTCAAGACATTATTTACACAAAATTCTGGTAAAAAGCATTGGCAAGATTGAAGACCACATGAGAAAAGAAAATGGCATTAGCATTTAATATAAACAACAATGACAGCTGCAGCAGAAACCAGTGATTACTCATGTTCCAAAAGCATGGGTGGGCCCAGGAACGGAAGTCTAACCTACAGGTCTTGGTCATGGTCAGAGTACATTCAAGCTGTCGCCACAAAATGAGCTGAAAGTCGGAATTTTCAAAAATTGAGATATTGGTATGTTTGAATTCAGCAAAAGAGAGCTTTCCCAACGGTGTGTATTTTGAACACTTACGATTGAAGTATGAGATAATGTGAAATTGTTTGGGCAGCTTGGTGTTTTTGTTCTCGCATTGTTTCAACATTTCTGACAAGGCACGAATAATGCTATTGTCAAATTGTTGAGAAAATGACATTTTTAAATATATGATCCTGCGACATATTTGGAATTAAATAGGAGATAGCTTGCTCTTTCAAATATTACAATACCCCAAATTGACCTCCATGAGTTTAAACCCTCAAAACAGAAAAGAGCGGAATGTGACTTTACGCTCATTTTGTTGTGGTGGGTCACATATGAATATGCATAGTGTTTCACTGTCCCATACACAGCACATCTCTTACAATAATTAAAGAGTAGTACCAGCGTGGCTATCTATCCTCATACCCAAGGTTTCCCAATAACAACGCAGTGGACACGTCAACTGTGGGAAATATCACCATTATCCATCATTTCTTTGTGGCATGGCAACATCACCAATGCACTCGATCATAAATGCATGCTTGTGGCATATCATGATATCAATCACATCAATTCATGAACGATTAAAAACTCACTATCTATGACCGTGGTATAACAATACAACTTACCACATCCTGTGACACTTACCCCGTCAAAAATGTTGTCATCTACTGGACCAAAGGTGGCTGTCACTTCGTCTGTGTTCTTATCTTCTGCAGCTTTGCAGTTTCTTGACTCTCCAGGCTTGTCCTCCATGCCGTCGCTGGACTTGGTGCTGTTGGTCCGTTTTGCCCTGGGCTTGGGTGCAGTGGGTGGGGGTTTTATCCTAGGGCATGGCCGAGAGGGATAGAGAATTATTGAAGAGTGTAAAGAGTTCGCTGGCTAGAAGATTTAGGAATGGGCATAACAGCAAGATTATTAAAAAAGCACATGAAATCCTATGAACTGATCTTAGGCACAATTTCTGATAGCACAAAATTCCAATGCCGCATTTGGAAGAAATCAGAATGTTGTATATTTTGAGTAGGAATATATCAGAATACGAGAAAGCTTGCTTATCCATTCCAGAATTATTTCAGTTTAACCAACTCAACTATGACCCTTATCCTATCCTGGGAAATCTCTTTACTAAAGACATAACTTTGCTATTATTCACATCTCAACACTGTAAACCGGAGAGCATTAGGATTCTTCTAAACTTTGTAACGATAAATCACTTTGTATAATCCCTTCTTGAAACTCTTCAGTTAGAACTCAAATTCACCACAATCTACCATCCTGGCCAAAACTGTTGGACACATGTCAATAGACATACCCTCCCCAGGTCCCCTACTCTCCTGGTCAATGTTCTCATCTTGAGCTGAAGCACAGATCATGCATTGAGATGCAGCACTGAGAAAGGGCCCGGGTGTGGGGGCCCAATGAGATTTGGCCGGGGCTGTCTGCATTGGTTCATAGTTGTGCGAGTGCATACCATGTCGTTTTGTGTGTTTTCTGGTATTGTTTGTGGAAAATGTAAAAAGGCAGTCAAAGGTCGAATAGAAGAAGGTATATTTTGGACAAAGTACAAGCCAAAGTACAAGTAAAAGGATGATAACTATTTATTTTCTATTATCTGTGTACAGTCAATACAGTTCTGTGGGAGGTCATCACTTGCAACACACCATGGCATTTTGGCCCCTAACTGTACTAAATTGATGTCGTTTTCAACTTGAAGGGTCCATTTGGGTCCAGAAACAATTTACAATCCCGTAGGATTTTTCTTGTTTCTTCATTCCATTACTGTACAAGAAATGCAACGACGGTCCCTCCAAAGATCCCTCCAAAACCCCCCAAAATCAAAGGGACTGAGAGACTTCAGTTCTTTACATGTAATGTGTTGTGGTTCACCGATGTGTTATGTATGTATCGCATGTGCATGTGCGGCGAATTGTTCGTGGACATGCTAGGTGCTGTTTTCAGTGAAGGTTCCAGTTCTGTCATTGCACAGCTTAGATAATTCACGAGGAATACTTCATGCATTATAAGCTCAGTGTCCCCATACTTTAGCTTGTTGCCACTAAAGCAGTGATTCTGGAGTCCTTGGATCCTGCTGTGCTAGCGATGACATCCAAGTGAATAAAGTTAACAGACCTCCCCCCCCACACACACACATAAGTAGGTATGTATAAACTGGGACAGAAGCTGGATGGGTGTGCTGTTATGACCACACAGCTGTGTTTGTGCACTTTTATGTACAACAGGCAACATTGGGAGGTGATGGGATTTTACTGTGGTTCAAAATTTTCTCTTGAATATTATTAGTGTGTATATTATCCGAGACCTTGGTGTCCGAGACCAAGACCGAGAACGAGACCAAGGCATATGACACCAACACCTACTACTTTAAGACTAAGACCAGGACTTTGAAACAGACTTTTGCAGGTCGAGGCCGAGACCACAACATCCGAGACCGAGACCAACCATAAACCAATGTTTAGTTTTTACCAAAAGGTAAATAGGGACAAACATATAGCAGTGCAATTAAGTACAAAAGAAATAAATGAAAACATTAGCATAAACTCACACACACACAAATAGGTCAAATATTTGTTAAAGAATGTCTCAGTTTTATCAGAGATACTGCTCTACTTTTACCCTGGTCTGGTCATTTTCAACCCGAGTGTCCCAAATGATATGATCATTAAAACAAATATCCTTAGACTGTTTTTTGTAAGCAAAATACTGAAAAACAAATATCCAAAAAAGATGTACCACGTACAAGACAGAATGAAAGCACTTTCACAAGTGCACACAATTCATAGCGTGCGCACACACACAGACTGGTTCCTGTCCCAGCCCTACGTTTAGCAGGAAACTACGTAGGAAATGGGAACCAGTCTAGTGTGCGAATTCCGCTACTCACAACCTCATCTCCATGGTGTCAAGCAGCATGGCTATTCTGGATTGGAAATAAAGTAACAACTTGGGACAAGGCTGCATCATGCTGCATTGACTAGTCGTCATTTCAGCATCGATTTCGTTGTTTATTGCAAAAAATCTGAACAAGACTGTGTTGTATTTATATCAGTGGTTGAAGATTTGACTCAAGTGGAGGTAAGTTTGCCTTTTGCAACCATGTGCATGCGTGGTAGCTAGATGCGCACTTTGTTATGGTCTCGAGGGGGAGACCCGAGACTATTGCATACGAGGCCGAGACCAAGACCGAGATTGGCGCTTTCGAGACTGAGACTGGCCCTCCCAAGACCAAGACCTTGACAGGGCGAGACCGAGACCTCAAAAAAAGGTCTCAAGACAGTCTCGAGACCGAAACCAGGTCTCGAGACCTACAACACTGAATATTATTATTGTTCATGTAAGCACAAATTCATCCCCTGGTGGGCTGATTGACTCTTGAGCAATCTTACTCTCAGGAGTTAACATTTCTTCTAGAAAGCATCGCCACTAAGAAACGTACAGCACATAGCAACTGAAACTCTGGGAATGGGAACTTTTCTTCACACTTTTTTTCTCCCCGGGGAATTCATTTTTATTTCACAAAATGTAGAAAACAGTGGAAAAAGATTTTCACAACTTATCACACAAACAGGAAAACATCCTCAGGCCTTTTCAAGCGAGTGGGGAAACTTTCATCCCTTGTGAAATGTGAAAGTGAAATCCTCTCACAAAATTTCCCATTCCCAGTGTTGACTTTCAACTGCAATGTACTGTACATTCACAAATACCTGACCTTCCACACTCAGACACCAATATGGAAAGTCAGAAATCAGCTCACTTGATGATTGTTGTTGAGTCGCTGTGCACTTCTTCGGAGACCTTTCCTTCTGCCTCGTCCTTGGCATTGGAGTTATCCCTGGCAGTGGACTTCAAGGCAGCGCTCTTCAGCCCTTCCTTGCTGGACAGGACTTCGGCCAGCCGGGTGACCGGAGCGCTGGGGGCCGGTGTGGCCGTATTCTCCTGTTTCTCCTCGGGGGGTTTGCTGACTTTCTGCTTCTCATCCAATTTAGCGTCCTTTTGCTTACGGTCTCTGCGGGACCGGTTGCGCCGCGCTTTCCTGTGGCCGCCATCATTACGGACCCGTCTGGAGGCAGAGCCTTCATCCTCTGAAGACCAGTCACTTTCTTCCGCACTCTCCTCTCCAACTGAAAAGCAAAGACAAACAGAATTTTACCTTCCACACGTGATCCAACACTTCAATTTATCTATTTGAAATTTTCTTTAAAAAAAACTCTTCCCACGTGGATAGCACTTCCATTTTGCTTGAATCATTTGCTTTCATATTGCTTTTTAATGAGCAATTTAAAATCCCTCTATAAACCTCAACAAAATCAAACTGTGTGAGTCTGTTTCATTTCTCAGATATTCTGGAATTTTCTCCAGAGACTGCTTGTGCATCATTATCATTCCTGATGGGCAGACTGCCTGCATGATCACGCATGGATTCTCCAAGCTAAAACACAGTGACTCATAGCAAAGGGCTACCATACTGTCTCACAAGGTTTTTCGGGAACCTACACGTGTAAGATACACATGTATCTACTTATGCCTTATCCCCTTAACAATCATGAACATGCATCCTTGATGAAACAGTTAACATCTCAATTGAATTTAGTGGTTGGACTGCAGCCTTTGATGGTGTCACAGCCCGACAGCAAGCTATGCAGTGTTCAGGATCAGTTTGGCCAGGATTATTCATTACAAGCGCTGCATCAAATAAATCACTGAATGGAATATAGTCATTGCCATATAGCTAATATTGTGAAAATGATCAGCAAAATGACCATTTAAAACGGCACTGCGTCTATTACATATTCTTCTGTCATGTAGACATCTGTACAGAGGTAATTTACTGTAAAAATTCCATAGAGAGATAATCTACAGTAGTGAAAAAGAAATTCATTTCCCGCCAAAAACAACAACAGGAAGAAGGAAAACCTGATAAACTGAGAGGCTCTAAATTTGTTCTCAAGTTTATAGAGATTTACTCTGTCAGGTGGAGGATGTTTAAACATGACACATAAAAAATATAAGTGCACATCTGCCACAAACAATCACAGGAAGAAAAATATTACATATTCATGTGCAATTTCAATTCATGTGCTATAGGGTCCATGTTATGTTATATAATTATATTTGAGCAGACACCTTATGTCCATGTATCATCGGCCTAATGTGCTCAGAGGAAACCCTATGTATGTAAAAAAAAATACAACCATCATGCCGCGCACGCACTGCTGAGTTAAATGCATGGATCAAACCTTTGGCTATATAATCCTGCATGAATTCACGAAGGCCCATCGCAGCACTCACACTCACAAAAAGCGCTTCACTGTGAAAATCAATGCATCGCCACCTGGAGTTAGTTTTGCAAATGAGACTGTGGCATTTGGCACTTCTGCAGTGAGGTCTGGGCTGCCTATGCATTAAGTCATTCAATCCCTCTGTGCATTAGTCAACACAATATTCTGCAGTCATCTTGGGTAAACAACACCCCTAATTTCCAATTAATTAAATTAGTCTGGTCCCCGTCTCCATTCTCCCATCTTCCTTTGCATGCAAGGGACCATACAGCAGTACATACAGAGATCTAACTTATCTGTCTCAATTAGTCAACAGGTATAGGCATGTAAGATTGATGACTTCAAGTGAAGATCTTAATCAAATGAAAACGAGTGCATCACAACCTTGAAGGGTGTAAATATTGAAGGGCCTAAATGCAGCATTTCAACAGCGGCTCACAGCAACAAGACCCATACTCTGCGTGAGCTGCATCCGTGTTGAATGCCCGGTTGATGTTGTAAGTTTTCTTTTGGTGCTAATCACCAATCGCTGCAAGGAGAATGACAATTGTTGTGCCGCTGTATGACAGGTAAGTCCTCACCTTTCAAAGGTGAGACGGAGTTCAACCCATAAATCTCTGAAGCTGCGCCCTGCATCACTAACTCACAAACACCTCAATGTGAATGTACATGTACCCTCCACCCTCGCACCTAGTTTTAGGGAAGAGTGCCAGGTACTTTTCAGCTTACATTTGGCAAAACCCCATTGGACAAAAATACATGTCGCCTGCATTTCAGGATCAAATTGTGACCGAACAACAGCAGAAAAAGATGTTGATAGTGCCCAGTTCATTACATTCTAGAATATGGAAGCATTCAAGAACCTTTACTGTAAGAGCTTCAGAATCATTGTGCACAAAAAAACTGTGCTTAATGGACAGTTTTGCATATTTCATAATTATAGACAAAGTCCACAAAGTTTCCCATGAACATCCCCTGTTCTCAAACATGTTCGGTGACACCCATGTCACAGAGTGACAACCAAATGAACTGAGCAAGACAAACCTTGACTGCAGCAGCCAACGCTGAGATCATTCTTCCCCAGCTCAAAATGCTCTTGTCTTTGCCGACAGGGGGCAAAAGTACCAACAGCAGCAGCCGTTCTCCTAATGGGCAAGGTTCGAAGCCAACCGTAAGGCCGAAGGGTCAGCTTTGACACTTGATAATAAGCTCTTCTTAGTAACTTCCTCGTGGAGGTTAAGTAGGTATCCATGGAGCAATGTGGAAATGGAAATTAATGGTAACAACATTCTTCCATGCATCCTATAATGCATATACATCATGTGCTTCTCTGCATCTGCCTTTCAAGTCTCACATTTGCTGTGCTACAAATAACTGGTGTAACTGATCAAAAATTATTCCAACAACTTCCTTGTTCGTTTCCTTCCCTGTTACGTTTACAATTTTCTCTGGCTTTCTCTCTGGACTAGGTAATCATACTACACAATAAACTTACAACAGATAAGCAGCAGCACGGGCTGTGTATGAAGTATTCAAAGAAAACAAACGACATGAAAGATTTCAAAACACAGCTCTTTTGCAATCACTTCCTTCCACATGGTTCACTTTCAGTTTCACCAAAAGTTGGTATCAGTCTGTGAACAAGCAAAGAGTGGCATTTTAGCTTGGGCCATTGTTAAAGAATTCAACACATTAATGAAAAATGCAAGACATAAAAAATGTGTCCTGTTGTGAAACAAACATCATGTTGTCCCCTACATGGATAAGGAAATATTAAAAATATCATCTAGAATTGGCCATTTCATTATTGGCAATATCTGCCTTTTGGGAGAATACCACAACAAGTTCCTTACCAACCCCCACCCAAAAAAACCTTGACAGATGACAAAAATGACCTCCACAGATTGAGCGATATAACCGATTGTTTTATCCCTCTGCGTAAAGAACTGAACTTACACAAGTTCTCATCAGAAAACTTGTAATGATTCAATGCATTTGAAAACCTCAAGCTCCTGTGGTTTACCAACGTATACGTACATTATAACATTGCTGTGCATATACCAAAAAAGTACATCCTGTTGAAGTACTTGTACATAAACTGCTATACTCAATTTTCAAATTTTCAGTCACCCTTACATGTAAGTGCCTATTAAGGTGCTCTGTCTCGGAAAGTATAGTTATATACATACAGTATATTTACATACAGGGAGTTGAACATGAACGACTATGAATGGCTACTCAAATTTCACTCTGTTATGACTGGCCCCAGTGGCTGAGAGGAATTATTTACTCAGGAGATAACATTTTGTTGGTGGGATACAATTAGCATATAACTGGAGTTTGTTATGAAACAAGAGTATCAAGTCAACACTCTTCATTTTCACAGGATACACTGGCATATTGCAGAGACAGTTGTCCTGAGGGCCACAAATGGGCAAGCTACAGCAGCCAATCGCAAGCACACACATTCTTTTATGATAATCAGCAATATAGAACCAACCATCAATAATCAAGATGAAGAAACACAGCTATAGGCTCCCTCCTGCTTAATGGATGTGGGCGTTTCTAGAAATGTTTGTCAAATCTGACGGCAAAATTTCAGAGCGACATCGATCATTTTGGGCAGAAAAAATGAATGTCGCCTGCCCTGCATATGTGCAAATTGATTTCCCCTATTCCGTAATTTTCCCAAACTCGTGAGACCTCCCACTGAAAGCAGCCTGGCTGCACTGCATGATGATTGTCACCAGGCACTGCACAATGAATCCTAATGCAGAACAAAAACCAAATGTGCTACCTTAAAACCTTCCCATTTGTCCATGTCCTACAAATGAGACGCAATTGCATGAAATGCCGATATGGCCCACGGCAACAACTGGATTGGCATAACTGCTTGGCTATGAAAAGCAAACTGATTGTTAGTTTGGCATAAAAAAAGCCTGTAAGCAGAATGTAATGTCTGCAAAGGTTAAAGAAATTCACAGGAACAATGAGCACATGTGAGCCAGATGGTGTTTTCACCATAACAGAGCAGGCTGCTCATCTGATCATATTTAGTTGATGACTTGGACTGAAAAATGACTTGCAAAGGTGGATTCAATTTTTAAAAAAATACCCTCCAACGCAGTCCATTAGCCTCTGCATACTGTGGGCTGCAGAAGCTACAAAAGTTATTCACTTCAAAGAAATACCACACGTATGAGCAAGCTGATAGTTTAAAGGTTGAGATCCGCAGGAAGCCAAACGTATGAACCTGCCTCTAAAAACAACAATTTACAGTTGTACAGTTCAGACATGTGATTCACTCAACAATTAAACACATCCCCAGGTAGCCTGTCATGTGCTCTGTATTGCTCCGTGTACTTAATGATTTTCTGTTCATTTCTGTTGCTTGAAATTTGTTAAGCAATCGATAGCTCTGCGAAAGTGAGATAAGATGGGAATAACTTCAGCTCTGTTGAGTACTATAGGCAATCAGTGACTTTAGATTACCTTGGGAGAGTGCATACCTGTCAGGTCTTTTCATAATAAACTCAATCTTTATATTGTCAAGATGAGAATTTTGTAAATTAATTCTAACGTGTGCATGCACGCACACATCTGAAGAGATAACTTCTGCCAAATATGAACCATCCATCAAAACACCAAGGACAAGTACTATACATGTACATGTGATTTTTGTTTTGAAAATTCGCCATCCTTTGATTGCATCAGAACAAACACCAACCTATCCATCTGTTCCCTCATTTTTTTCTCCCATTCCTTTGTCCTACTCGAGTCTAGTTTCCCTGATACAAAATGAAATGCATTCAAACTCATCATCGGCAACGCGAATGGCACAATGCTGGCAGGTCTATGTGCAGCACAGTCTTCATGTACAAATCTGACAAGGAATGAACCTTCTGAGAAGCAGCTTATTTGAAAAGTTGTCCACGTCGGGAGAAAAAAAGATGTTGCTGACAGATGCTTGTACTATGTATATGCTCATATACTTTAAAAAAATGGCAAAATAACATACCAGTCATTTGTGTACCAAGTGCTAGATTTTATTTCTGCTGGTAGTTTACAGCTACAGATGAGAGATATTTCCTTGTTCATGACCAGAAAGATCAGGATATTCTCTAAAAATCCCTACAATACCTTTAGGACTTACTCTTTATGTTTTAATTTTTGAAGGCAGTAGTGAAATTAGGGTGAAATTTGAAGGGACACTGTCAGCAAAATTGACTGTGCCAGATAGGATGTGGACATTTCAACATTTCCAACGGGGAAGGGGGTGTAGCACATCTGGCATGTCTCCCCTCCTCCATTGCATGAGTCCCCAGCCCAACTGTTTTGGGAGTTGTCATCTGATCTGTACAGTCCTTGGCTAATTAACTTGGTAAGATGGGCAAATTCGTGGAGCTGGGTAGGTAGGTAATACAGCTTGGCAAATGTCTATGCAGCAATCAACTGTGAAAACATTCCCTAGATATATATGTCAAATGGTCATGCGGCATTTTGGCTCAGATATCTCGTCCTTACTGTTGAGCAAATATATTGCTACGCCAGAAGAAATTTCTATACTTAGGCTGCAGCTCTGTAGAATTGGCTGGGCATCGAATCCAGCTCAAATGACATCAAGATCTCGCTTTACAGTTGGACACTGCAAAGCTGATCTGCGAAGTGAACAAGAGATGGTTAGCTTGAATATGATGATTCAGCTGGCATCCTCTTTGTTACTGATGGATCCTAGTTTAGCTTTAACTAGTAGACGCTAACCGCAACAAATAGCTTCTGTACACAAGCACTCCCTCATGTAAAGAGCTAGGCTGGGATGATATGTGAATGCCATTGCTACCACGTACCTACATGTATAGCCCACATGGTGTACTTTCGAGTTTTCACATTTTTGGAGATGAAAGTTGAGCTGCGTCCCAAATGGGCAATGTAATGTCCACACGACTGCAACTAGTTGCCGTTTCATGTCAAATAATACCTTGGTAAAAATACAAAGCCATAGCCACATGATACCCACCTTGGACACAGCCCATACTATTGCACATAAATGCTGGATTAATTACGTAACATCCACTCTCATTCATATACAGGGGGACCATACAACATAATGGGCTGAGGGACTACAGTAACATACCATCTTCCGACAGCGTGTCCCATCCATGCAGCAAACGGTTGATGAACGACACAAATCGCCGTGGCAACTCCAATATGGCCGTAAAAGCCATGCCGGCTGGGCTCCCAATCGACACTGTCACCGATTGTGTTGCATGCAAAAGGGGAAATTTGGTTTCACTTCACCAGGGTCAAAGCATGCAGGGCGTACACTGGAGGAATGTTAGGTATCATTCAGTTAACGGTTACTGAGGGTTTCTCAAAGAAGTTTGTCTCGAGGAACTACTTCATACACTGGGAGTTTCATCCAATTGGGCTTGATCATGCAAAGTCTTAGGGATGCAAATTAGGTCCACCATATCTGAAAGTTAAAACACAATATGACAATGTTAATTAATGACATTAAGTAACAATGTGGTATTGGAAACAAACCGCATGCCCAATCTCTCAACTACTGTACATCTTTAAAATAAAAATGTCCAAAGTCATTTTTTAATTAATAGAGAGGCAAGATCTTACATCTACCTGTACCATTTTTTGGTCTTATTTAATCTCAATAAAGGGTCTGAAATTAATTTCCCTTAGGTCCTCACTTTATGCAAGAGGGAATAAAGCAGGAAAGCCTGGGCACTAAAGCACATGTGACTTTGTAATGTCAGCACAGGTCACCACACCACAAACCTAATCCATACCAGCAGAAGTAAATATCTGGGAAAGCAAGTTCCTGTGACATACGGTAATGCATTTTTTAAATTAAAAACTGAAAGCACTGACACTTTAATAAAAACCAGCAGCAGTACCTTCCCAGGGGTGAAAGAAAAATCAACCCTTTTTTTTTTTAAAATGCAGAGACTTAAGTCAAAGAAAGCAGTTCTTCAGCTCCATGGTCAAACCAATTTGATGCCCATCACTTTTACAAGCTACGAATAACAAGCTACAGTGACACCAGTGGATCGTAACAGCTGCCAAACTGCCGTTATCCACGGCAGATATAATGGCGGGTGAGATGATGACTCGGATAATCTGATTACGAAACTCACTTGTCAAGACCGATTTTTCTGCATCACTGAATCATGGTGTGCTAAGTTAAGAGGTGAGCCGAATGTTCCACCATCAGTGAGCATACTCTATAGTGACAAAGGCATGTACAAGGCAAGACTCCTGCCAACTTCAGAGATATTTATTAGCCTACAGTACCTGAAGCAATGATAACTCAATCTATTGATAGAGCAGACTTTAGCAGACTGACATGGTTGTGCAAATTATTGGGGCTCAAGAGTGACCAATATTTACAGATTTCATTTCAGAAATTTGCGGGAATTCATTGAAAAGTTTGAAAAGGTTTGAAAGTTTCTCTCAAATTAATGCCACCGACTTTGGGAAAGAATAAGCAGTGCTTAATGTTTCTGGTTTGGGGTTGTTCCAATAGATTATAGTACATGGAGGTGATTGTCATAACATCATGCAGTTTTATCTCTGCAAAGAGTCTCCATGGTAACCATCGACAGTCATCCAAGGGGATGAATAAAGAATTCTTTTCAAACCCTCAGCTCTTGAAAAACATTACCACTTTGATACAACCTGATGAATGTGGACATCATGTGAGCGCATTGTAGTGTTGACAGTTTGCAAGAATTGAGCAAGATTTGTTTAAGGGCTTGCGGCTTGGACCTTAATGCATATATTCCCACCAGTTCCTGATGATTGCAAACTCAAAGGACACCTGGTGCATTGTAAGGTCATACCATTAAGATGAAACATTATTCATTCTGTAGCCAACAAAATGGGATCAAGTTACAATATATCATTTTACAAAAACCTGAGTCTACAAACAATACTTTCCACAACGAAATTTGATCTCTTGTTACCTGAATCTCCAACAGGAAATCAAAACATTTTAATAACACCGTAAATTTTCTAAACTCTAAAATTTCTGCCTATGTACATGTACATGTTGATGTGCATGTACTGATCTAGAGAAAATATAATCAATATGCACCCTCACAGAAAAATTAGCTTGTTGGAACCTTCTTGTAAGTGTGCCAAAAAAATTGCCACAATCTTGGCAAACTTCCAGCAAGCTAGAGAAAGTTAGCATATATTTCTGCAAATGTATGTGTACATATTACAAGCATGATGCATATTTGCATACAAGCTTGCATATGGTATTAATCATGCTTTTATTGTATTTTTATTTGAGAATGAATAACCCCAAATTGAAACTACATAAGAAAAAAAGATTTTCACATGAATACTTCCTTCTTCGAGCACTCAGTATATATCAATACAGATTTACACCCTGATCTACATGGATGTGACCAAAACTACAGACTAAGGTAAAGGCTTGTTTGGAAATCAAGACCATTAGAAATTCGAGACATATGTATTGTTTCTTTGCAATGGTAAAGGACTGGCCTAAAACTTGAAATTCAAATTTCTGTCATCAGTCTGTTTGGCAATTAATGAGTTCCATTCCCTAATTAGCGAACATACATGCATCTGGCACTCAACAAAACCCAAACCTATATGTTACATTTTTTTTCTTTATGTAACATTAAAGGGAAAAAATCAGTTTCATTGCGATGTGCACAAAACCCATGGGAGAAAGAACTTAAAAGTCAAAAACGGTTGTCATAGGGATTCAGGTACATGCACATGTAGATGCCAGCTCCTATATGAATTATGCCAATGCCCAAGATGGTAGGACCTACATCTATGTGTCTGTATGCTTAATATGGAAACTTCCATGTATGTTACCGGGTAATTTGAACATGCCCATATACGTGAAGAACTTGTCACAATTGTCATGATGTCTCCAGAGTTAAAGAACAACTGTGTGATGACACAAGACTAAAAACAGCAATTCACTCTCAATCTGTTTCATCAGTGATTGTCTGACATCCAAATGTCTTGCTTTTATATTTTAGTTGTGACGCATACAGGAGGGAGGCGCATGAAAGGTCTGACCATATCAAGGGTGAAAGTCATCAACAATAAAATTTTGTTCGGTAATGTCATCAACAGTTGTTCCAGCCAAACTGAGTGCCGTACTACAGACCGCCAACCCACATTAAGACACAAGTGCCACGCCACTTAGACTTCTGGTGCCTTTGGGGAGCCTACAGCCAATAATAGAGGTACATGTAATTAGAAGTCTTAGACACTGATGGTATCAAGCAGGTGATTGTGTTTCCTGTTTCCTGTCAGATGAAACCATGAGCAATCACTTTCCCAAATGTTTGTCACGATCTTAGAAATGTTCCCTCTCTGAGACTTGAAATTTGTGAAAATTTAGCAGATTTTTCAAACCCCAGTCCAACAAACTACTCATCTTTGCTCTAACGATAAATGATGGCTAAAGATTCAAGATCAGTTCGGATGTAAGCAGAAAGGCAGGGGTTGCCCTCCACTGCAACACCGATTTTTGGTTCAGTGGTTTCTGAGCTACAGTTGAATGATATTTCATTCCATTCAGACTGGGTCAAGAATCCTTTATTTTTAAAACTTGGTCTAGCAATGCAGTACATTTAAAATCTAAAAACTAAACTTAAGGTGCTGGAAATATGCAGTTAGAGAACAGACTAGTGCACAACAGAAATCAATCCAACAGTACTTGAGATAAGCACAAATAAAACGTAACAGAGAAGTATAGTTCCCAGTCTCTGTTTCTACTCTCCACCAACAAAGGGCCAGTAACATCCACGACTATATAGTCACCAGGTCCCTAATTTTGCCACCTATTGTCAAGTCAAGTTGGTTTTATGGTAAGTGGTGAAAAAAGGGACCAGGTGACTATACCATCATGGACATTAAGCTAACAGTGTAACAGTTTAAAATAAACATGATTTGGGTGATCAGTTGGCCTGATCTTGATCCACATCACTGAAGGTCTTATTTGGAAATTACAGTAACTTTACACTGAGTTGAACAACCCTCAAAATACTTTTGGTCGCTTGTAATGGTTTCAAGAGATAAAGCACTCATAAATTTGGAATAATTATTTCATTTCCAGATTGAATAAAGCAAAATATTGAAAGGAGTATCGAATTAAACCTGAGCTAACTATTTTCCTTGACAATAAATCCAGTCTGCCAAATCCACCACAACTCCATGTAATTTAACTGCACATACATGTACATTGGGATAATCCTGCACCAACATGGGATCTCGTTCAGATGAGAGACTGACCAAGTCTAATATTCACCACCAACATTTTGCATTGGAAGTGACCATGGATGCCAATGCAAGAAATGAATCATCCGAGTTTCAGCTGCTTACATCAGATGACTGGTATCCCGAAGCCAAAATTAATTCATATCACAGATGAGCAACCTTGGTTACATAACACAGGATCAACAAGAATAATTAATGTGGTGTGAAAGGAGTACTTACATTTTCAACAAACAGACTTTAAAAGCATAATATTATCATGTGAACGTAAAATGCTATTTTGACAGAACTTCTAAAGAGAGAGTCCTGTTACAAATCACAGTGCATTTTAAAGTGTTTTATCATAATTTAATCCAGAGACAAAAAAGAAATCTTGAAAAAGATGTGGAAAAATATTAAAATAAAAAGAATAAACATTTATGCCAAAAAAGCACAGTGGACAGCTATGGAATTTGTAAGTACTGAGATACTTGCAGGATTTACTGTCCAAACTCACAACATGCAGTGATTAAACACATACAAAATAATATTCCAGTGTTTGCAGACACAACATATGGCCTACCTGTATATGGCCGAGCACATTGGCAATGCAGGTGCAAAAAACAAGGCGTTCAAAGTGCAGCATGCATTTCGATTCTACAGGATGCAAGGATAGCACGACCTGACCATTACCGTCCAGAATCACTCCACAGTACTAAATTAATAACTAGCCGCCTTTCATTAGCATTGTCCATTAATGCTAGTGATTAAAAACAACTCAAACCCAGCCCCCAAAAATTGGGGGGGGGGAGAAATGCGCGTACAGCGATATTACTTCACAATGGCAGAAGAGGAATGCGATGGCCATGAAGAGGTTGTGTACAACCTGCAGGCTGCTGCTGTAGAGGTCGTTGATGCCAACAGTGCTGTGTGTTCTCATGTGAAGGACTGAATCCCTAGCTCTCTATGCAATAACATGGGCAGACAGCAAACAATGGGGGCTCCCGTCTCTTTGACTGACAATGTTTTGGTCCCAAGAATGCCTTGGCAAATCTCTGTGGGCTTTTGTGGTGTGGACAAAAGCTGGCAAGCTATGGGTCACAAAAGAAACCTTAATTGCAAAGGGTTCACTGAAACTGGAAAAGAACTGAAGACTGAGTTCATTTCCTGGTGCAGGCAGGGCACAAAATATCAATGAGAGAGGGGAGGAAGAGAGAGGGTACAGAAGATGGAAGGGCTGGCAGAGAAAAAAAAAGAAATGGTAAATGGAAAATTGAAAGTGAGATTTTCTTTTCTCAAACTTAGATTTAAAATTAAATCAAAATAAATTCCTGACATTTCAGCTGATTATCAAAATGTAATCATTTTGTGGCCATCAGTTATTGAATCCTAATAACAATCACAATAACAAACACCGAAATGTAACAGGCAAATTAGTACTACTACACCTGCCTTTTGTTGTTTATTCAATTTAACATTACAAGTGACAAAACTTACAATGAAAGCACCATAAAGCAAGCAATGATCCCAAATACCTTGGTGGGATCTAGTGGATTTCTATGGTTTTGTGTTTAAACAATTAGCAACACACACACAAATGTGCATCAATCTACAACCTTCTTTAAGTAAAAGGACCTGTCATTCGTTAAGCAATTCAGTTTAATAAAAATTGTTAAACGGGCAAAAGGTAACAGAGACTACGGTCAACTTTGGAAGGAAAGTAATGGTCAATTTGAAGCTTCAGACTGCAATCTTGAATAAGCCTTTTTTGCGAATTAAGTTTGAATAAAATCTGGTACACTGAGTTCTTTAAATTCACATAAACATAACAATTTGAATTCTCCATACTAGAAACACTGTTGCTATACCTTGCGATTCAGGGCAGGCTTTTGCTTAATTACATAAGAGATGCCTTGCAACAATACACTGTTCTTAATGGATAAGAAGGGCACAAAGGAACCAGTCCATTCCAGAGATGGTGGTCGCTACGGTGGCAAGCTTTTGCACAGCAACCACCGTCTCTGAAATGGACTGGTTCCTTTGTGCCTTTCCTATCCACTGAGAACAGTGTATTGTTGGAAAGGCATCTGTTATGTAATTAAGCGAAAGCTTGCCCTGAATCGCAAGGTATAGCAACAGTGTCTTTAGTTTAGGGAATTAAAATTGTTATGTTTCTGCGCAATCAGATAACTCAGTGTACCAGATTTTATTCAAATCGCAAATGGCTTATTGGAATCATCCCATTCAATTTCAAATCAGTAACAGAACCAATAATTTATCTGGATGCCTACTTATACTTGGAGGGACATGCTCTTAAGTGATAAGCAATTCAAGTAAATTGTGAAATGAAAGGCTTATAATGAAGTCAGGTCAAAAGGTTGAAAATAAAAAAAAGAATGATCAAAAGTTTCCAATTTTAAATCTGAACCGATACCAAATGCATTCTACACAAGTATTTAGTAAATCTTGGCCCTGAAAATTGAACCTGAAAAGAAACCAGAGCTGAAATTTTGATTTATGTTCAATGTAAATGAACAGCGCTCAATAAAAGCAGCAAACAGTGTCCCAATGATTCGGCAATACATCATTTTACAATCCTTCCCTAAAGATTCTTATCACACAAAATGGGTGTTTTGTGGACTGATTTTGTTTGTCCTTTGTCCCACACAGTGTATAACTTTTACCCTTTTTAAATGTTAAAGTTCACCATATGATAGTGAAAAAGAGACAATTAAACCTGTAGTTAGAATATATAAATGCCAACTGTGAGCAAGTTTCTGAGCTCAGCCAAAATCAAGCATTGTCAGTCTTTTTTTATGACTGGCCCAAACTGACTGACAATCAGCACTGACTGAGTGAGCCATATTAATAAAAAAAAAACAAATCCATCGCTGGAATTCTTTGATAGATCTCACTACAAACCAACCTAACAGCCACACCAGCAACAGTGTTTTCAACATATTGGAGTCACGCTTTTGTTGAATTCTTTTGGTTGTATCTGATTTAGATTACCTTTTTCAATAACAGCAATGCTCAATTACAGTACATCTTATAGAAATAAAGAGGATAAAAGAGGGGAAAATAATAATTCTGCTGTTGACAAATTAATGTCAAAGATTTCTGTTAAAGAACAAATTAACTTTTGTGCTGACAAATTGGACCGAACCAGCATATCTATTAGAACTTTAAACCATTGCAAGACATTTTTTAAAATAAATGTCCAGGGTGATTAGAAATTTACATGCCAGGATTATGTGCAATGAAAGAGTTTCTTGAAGTGAACTTGGAAGTCCTTTTTGAAAACAGTGTACACAATTGGGTTGACAGCAGAGTTACACCAACTCAGCCACCACAACATCCGAGAGACCTGCATGTGGCCCAACAGTGGGGTGCCAGGACCCACGGAGACGTAGCTCTCAAACAGAAACATGGGTAGCATCAAGCCGACCGTTATGCCCAAGATGACAAAGGTGACCAAGAAGGTCTTCCGCTCCCGTCTGAACCAAAAGGCCTGTGGGACTTGCCTGCCCTGCCCGGTGCCAAGGCCGTGGGCATGGATGACCGAAATGCAGGCAGCACGACGTTTGGCCTGGCGAGAGATGGTGCTGCCCTGGTGGCTGGGTCTTGTGGAGGGCGCCGAAGCTCTTCGACAGTGGGGTGCCCCTGTGCCTGGCTTCATGCCATGTCTCAATGGCAGAGCGAGTTTCAAGTGTAAGTTTGGTCCGTGCTTCCTTCCCTTGGTGCTCTCTAACAAGGGGTACCTGGGAACCACCCTGGAGGGCCGCTGGTCATGAGCAGAGGAATGCTCTCCCAGGGTTGGGGCACAAATCAATGCCCTGTTCACCCTAGAAACTGTGATCTTCCTACCACCTCTGCAAGAAGCAGGCTCACTCTGTGCTTTCTTTGGAATTGGATGAAGGACCGGCAGAGCTGTCAGGCTGGTGCCAGCCAATGAAGCTCTGGCTGGCACCTTGGAGGACAGTGCTGCAGGCAGTGATCGAATCTTCTTCTTGCGTCTCCTCATGACTTCCACCAAGATGGCCACATTGGCCAAAACAAGGGCCAGAATGGGCAGCCCAATGCCAACAATCAGGCAGAACAGGTAGAAGCCCGGACCCACCGGGTGGTAATGCAACTGTGCCGGTGCATGCTCATGAGAGGGTGTATCCGGATTGATCGCAATATATGGGGTGGCAAGAAGTGCCGGAATCAGCCAGGTTACAGCAATGGCTGCAACAGCTCCACGGGCACTTCGCTTCCTCGGGTAGACAGTTGGTAGCTTGATGATGAAATAGCGGTCCCAAACAATCGGACACTGGCTCCAGAGGCTCACCATGGTTAAGAAGATGCTGATGCCAAGAGGGACTCCACATGCAATCTTGCGGCAAACATCAGGGGCCTCGCTGAGTAAGACACCAAAGGGGACTGCTGTGGTGCAGACAAACCAATTGGACAGGACAAGGGATGCCGTGAGGTAATTTGGCACATTCCTCATATTTGGGAACTTACTGATGACGATGAAGACGAGCGCATTGCTAAAAATGCCAAAGGCAGCTATGATGGACATGAAGATTTGAAAGAGAAGGCAACTCGGAGAATCTTGGAACACACAGTTAGCTTGACTATTGTTTATGGAAAAGTTTGCCATTGTATTCATGAGAATTCTGCCCAAACAGGTACCTTTCAAATGTCAGTGCGCTGTGACTGTTTCCTTTCCACTTTGTTTGGCAGGGCAGCTTTTGACATGTCTTGGAGGGTTTTTACATTCAATGACCGTAATGACTCCTGCTGAACTCGAGGTTCCCCAATGTAGAGCTCTGCATCTTCACACAGCTCCAACAACACTGAGTGCCAGGTTTTACCACACACCACAAAAACAGACTTCAGAACCATCCCACACAAAAGACTCCCCAACTCACTTGCAGGGTTTATAATCGCAACCTCTGCAAAGAAAAGCCAGAGAGCATCCTAAACATTGGCAATGCATTCACGTCAAGATTTTGCAGTGGTTTTCCAGGATTCTGATTGGCTGATTAAGGTAGCAGCTCTTGCCAGCATCACTAAATCGAAAGGGGGGGGAATTCTACAAGACACACAAACCACGGCACAGTCTTATTTCCTGAAGAGATCACAGTAACTACTACATTCAAACCTCATTTTTGTGAGGTCCTTGAAATTTGCAGATTACCGTGTCACAAACAGGAATCTTGTTTTATCAGGAATAAAAATAATGAACAACGACTAATTGGGACCTCAAAATGCCTTTCTATGAATAGAATAGTATATAAACAGGGCTCTTATAAACCAGGTTAAACCATAATCACTGGCATACTAACTCCAGTATCTGAGGTTCTTTCCTAATAAGGAAATTCCACTACTGCTCTTCCTGTTCTTTCACTTCGCTCATTACTGAAAAGGAGGATTATATCTGTGTATTTTTGTTTTGTTTTGCTTTCATTACTTGTTTTCTTTTGTGATATTTGACTCTGATTTAATTAATCCCAATTCTTAAGTAATCATCAACATCACAAAATGAGGAACACAGGATTATTATTCAAAACTACCACTCAAGACATCCAGTTGTTTCTGAGGAGACAAAAGAACACGAAGTTATTTTTGGTTGGCATTTTAATTATGCCCTTCACGTTCGTGAGAAAAAAAGACCCATTTCCCCATTTCCGTCTACTTCTCATATTGACACAGAAGGTTTTGTGTAGGCACTTTCTGTTTCTTTCTTTACAATTGAAAATAAAAATTGTTGTGAATCAGGGGACATGTTTTGATGAAGAATGTATGATGTAATGTATTATACTACATAGATGTGTATCTCCATTTTCACACACACCCCCCCATAATGAGACCAGATGGTATCCTGTGAATTACCCTGAAACCAAATATACACAAGGGAAACTGTTACCAATGTATTTTTCCCATCATTTCAACAAACATGATCAGAAAACACTTTTTACTTAAAGACACACATTAATCTAATAAACTCTTCGGCAATATAACACTGTTCTCAGTTGTTGCTGTGTTTGAGCACATAAGGCTGGTTGATTCATTCATTTGTACATACAGCTTTCCCCAAAACACACATACATTTACACACAGGTGTACCACGCTGATGTTAAAATAGTAATGGTTATTGGTAATACTATGATGCTTAATTGGAAAGTAGGCTTTGTATTGAATGAAAAATGTGACGTGAAATACCTCTGCACCACACTGGCTCAACGCACTGAGCATGTCCACGTGAACTTCCACTTTTTTTTAAAGTAGTCTAGAAATAAAACCAGGTAACGATTAAAACATAAGAGTGCAGCAACTACCTTTTTCCAGATAAATTGCACAGCAACAGAAGTTCTACACAAGACACCAGCTGATGGAAATCTACAAACTAGAAGACACCTCAACTAACAATAACAACGTGCTGAGCCTCAATTCAACTTCACGGAATCACAAGGAGATTTGCTTGATTTAGACTTAAGAACAAAGGTTACAACTCAGAAGACTCAAGATTTGAATTGGAGACTCAGATTTAGACACTCATCACTCATCACACGCATCACTTGCATGTTGCAGACTTAACAATGGCACAGCAAAGTATCCAAACTTGAACATTGCTAAACACAAAATACATTTCTAAAGACCACTAGTTTTTCACTGTGACATGTATGAAGCCAAAACATCTAAGCAACCCAGCCTATCACAGCAATACTTTGCACTGAAACCAAAAACTTGATCAAAGGAGTATATTACAACGTACCAGTCACTACAACCTTCCAACGGGGGAGATACCAATCTGTACACCAGGACTTTGTCACGGTGGTACCATATGACGAAAATGAAAAGGAAATAAAAAATGTCACGCATGCTAACAGGCACTCACTGAAAAAAAGTGTTCAAACAACTGTGGTGCACTTAGGTACAAACCGAAGCCACTGTATTTATGTAGTTCTTCGTCACAACTATATTTAGAAACATGTCACAAAGGAAGTACCGCCCTGCACGTAGTTCTACACATGTCATCCTTTAATTCATGTTTAAATGGGGTTTCCCATTTTGGGATGTACCATGCACTGAAGCTGTGTTGACTCAGACTCAGTAACATGCAAATAAAGGAATGAATACTGGTTCTGCTGACTTCATTTGTCATCACAATTTCCCAGTTTGCTACAAAATGAGGGCATAGTTCAGGATGTAGATGGGCACATGCAGACAAAGGTAGCAAATAGTCTGGTCAAAAAGGTGGGACATAAATAAATCCCTGGCTATTCCTCTGTAAGCTTGTAGGTATTGGATTTCTGATTATTTCAAGCCTGGCCATTGGTAATTGGTCACCAATAGTCGGGGCCTCGATCACTCCAAAATTAGTCGACAATATGACCAGAGATCAGGCAGTCACGAAACTGAACAAAAATTAATACAAAGACGGCGACATCTTACCTTCATTCTGGGACCAGTGGTCCTGGGTATAAAACACACTCTGGATGAACATGTATAAGCGCTGGGGCAGAGTGAACAAAAATGCCATTCTCAAACAGGATCTACAAATCCTTCACTGACAGCCTAAGCCAGACACACTCAGGAATCTTAGAAATCTTCACCAACTCTTCAGAAGGAGAGCCAATCAACCAAGCCGATTCTTCTTTACGGGTGAAAGTCACACAGATGACACTGTCATGAACTTGTGGCAGCAAAATTACCCAGAAGGTCAATGACTACACCAGATGCTGGGTGAAGGAGCACCGGGCATATCAATTATCTATGATGGTAATTGATTATTGCAAGTTTATAAGATTGCTGAAATGCTTCACATCAGGATTTCCCCCACTAGGTAACCGACAACGCAAGAGCTTCAACATTAAATGCAAAGCCTACTAACTTCAACAAACTGAAGAAAAAAGAAACCAATGCTCAGGGTGAAGACCAGTCTCTGATACAGAGCAATCCAACTGGCAACACTCAAACCGACTTACTCTGCAACTGCATTCCTATGGTATGATGAATCTTTAGATATTAATAGCTAGCGCTAACCCCAAACATTCTCAAGGAAATTCAACCTCATGAATTTCAATACATTTGGGTGTGAGGCAAAGCTCAGCAAGGAAATCTAATGCGACAGCCAAAGCTCAGCTGTGCCTTAGGAATGCACTGGGAGGAGGCAAGTTTACATTTAAACAAGTCGAGTGGACGAAAGGAAGTAAGGCATTAGTCACATCGGTTACACCAATTTCTAATCAAGACTTGGGAGTGAACTACATGTACGTGTATGCACCACTTTGTAAAAATGTTTGTATATGTCTATGTAATTTTGTCAAATTTGTTTTGTTTCAAAACCAGCAAATATACAATTTTTCTTTGTATGCATTTTCTTTAGTGCATTTCTTTTAACAATTTCCTCTTTTAAAATTTTTTTTTAATAATTATGAAATTCATGCCAAATGCAATCTTTAGAGTGACCAAGTCCTCTTGCTTTTAAGAGCTCTTCCCCGAAATGATATGTGAACTTCAGTGATAATATTGAATAATATTGACTAAATGAATCTTAACATACAAAATTATTTTTCGGTGTCCAGCAATTAAGCAAAATAGGAGAGGACAATGATTTGAAAAAGTTTTGGTCCAGGGCATGACTTACCCCCAATAGAAACATCTGTGTAAAGATAGTAAGAAGACTAAATTTGTAAATCTAGGTATTAATAACCAAAAAAATCAAAAAAATGGAAACAACGGATCTCTTGATAAAGTAACAGATAACTTACCTGTAAAACACACTCACAATCATGATATGGCTAAGTAAAGTCTCTGATGAAAAAAAAAATTGCCAAAGGCACACGAGGCCAGACTTTGACGTAGTTACATTCGAAACATGTCTGAAAATGACAGTATACCCAACCGCATCTGCAAAGAACGTGCCATTTTCCATTATGTTTTTGAGGAATTGTCTTCCCTGAAAAAAAGAATTAAGGTCAAAACACTGATGTAGCTACATGAAAGTCTATGAAATCACACTGCAAAATTTCAGTAATCTGTATCTATTTTCAGCCTTTGTACAGTTCATAAACAGAACTGATGAAGCAGGTCCACTTTCTATTTTGCCTTTGATCTTGCTTTCCTTCAAAAGCATTCTCAGGTCAAGACTGAAATTTCTCCATACATGTGCAGTTCCTCAGCTCCGCTCTCAGTGTGAACAGTCCCAAAGGGGTGTGTGAAACCATATGCAGTCCAGAATTCCGTTACCATTCATCTGTTTCAATGGTCCCTAGTTGGAAACTAACTGAGGTTGTCAAATCCAGGTCTTCTATCAGCCAAGAGAAAGTGGAATTTTGCCTTCAAGCAAAGCAAAATTCTGACCTTGCACAAGTAATTTCTGAGAGCACAAACACTGACAAGGAAACCAATGGTTATTACACTGGTCATTTTTTTTCTTTCAGTGTCACTGCAAACAATCTGGGACAAAGTCTATTATTTGGGGCGGGGGGTTGCTGAAAATCAACCATCCCTCCCCGACACTTGTCACAACTAACTCTTTGTACATGTATGCAACTGGACATTTAATATGCAGGCTTAGACAAGAGACTGACAATAGATATATCAATGGATGCTCTGACCATAGTCACACTGGCATAACTGGATTTAATTTGAAGGTGGCAACACTGGGGGGGGTTAATTTTCTTGAGGGGGGATACTCATGAATTTGGTCATAGTTATACACAGTGAAAAGCTAGTTTCGGGTCTCTTCCAGTCTACTGGAACAGAAAGGGACAAGGGTCTTTCATACCCAATCCCTATGACAATGGACAAGTGAAATCAGCAATTTCACATGTCCGACATGAGATGATCTGAGTTCCTGAAATAGCTTACTCAACGTGAACTACTTCACTGGCTTCAATAAAATTGTTTTGCCCCGGATGTAAGCAGAACGTGAAAGCATTCACTCCAGATGTCACTGTTCCACTGACACCTGCATGCATGCCCTTCGATTGGCTACTTCCTTGGATGCGCTACCTCCGTGAATCATGTTGAATAATAACAGGGGTGCAACGCAATGACCATCGCAGCTGTTCCACAAGGATATTGCTGATAATGCTGTCCGTATTAACCTTGATCTAGCAATGTCACTACTTCTGCCTACTCCTGTCTCAAGATGGAAGGCAGCCCTTGTGGATAATTTAAGCATCCAGTAAAGAACTCTGTAATTTTTTTCACGAGAAAGAGTACAACATTGCGAAGTCCTTTCCCCCTCCCCCAAGAAACGTATTAGCTTAACCATACTAAGACCATCCAAGAAGGTCCAGTCACTGGCCGGAACGTCGTCATCATGGCTAGCTCACACTTCACACTATCTCCCATATGAAAACAATTCCCCCCCCCCGCACTAGCGTCCCACTGTAAAGTTTTTCAGGGAAACTTGCCAGCAGGCAGGTTATTCCAAAGTTTGTTGACACCGAATCAAACAATTGTATTAAAACTAAGTGGTTATCACCCTTCCTCCATTTAAAAAAAAAGCTTCCTCCTCTACATGTACTTTACAATGCTCCTTACAGGACAAATGTGAATGGAAATGGAATGACCAGTGGTTTACGCTGTTAGCCTATTTGAGGTGTGGCAGATGCAATATGAGGGCGCTATTTGGTTTCTATAAAATCTTTAGTCTTCATTTACTCCAAATCTACCCATTTCAAATAGCGCCCTCCTACTATGTCCACCATGCGTCAATTAGGATGGTTCATCACAAAACCCCTTTCCTTTGGGCATCACAAGGGGGAAAAGAGGCTAGGGTGCATGCTCCTGGGAGCAAAATCAAAAATACAAAGAGAAAAAAAATGATAAAAACCGAAAAATGTGAGGACAGGGGATGAAAATAACCAATTCACTTGAAAATGCCTCGGAATTGACTCCCTTCCTTCGTTTGCTGCTGTCGAGTGCTATGCACACTCCCCTCTCCCTCCCCCCCAAGAAAAATCCTTCCAATACCCATGCCTTCCTCACAAGCTGCTGTGGAAAAATACAAGTAAAGGTGCAAAATCAGGTGCAAGACAGATGAAGGAGAGCATCAAGCTGAAGTGCAGCCTAACACAGTCGGTGACAAAGCCAAGGGGTAAGGTTTCAGAGTGGCCGGATGCCTTACCCAAGTGACCCATTGAAAACAAATTCCAAATCATGGCTGTACAATTCAGTCATAATTAGCCATTACAGGGGTGTCATGGCTGAACACAAATCAAGCTAAAATCGGTAACTGTAGACCCTCAGCTGCTAAAACATGATAAAGATTCACCTGTTACATTTGTATTCCATCTTTAACATGCATGGAGGAATGTTGAGACCACCTCTTCTGCCAATCTGACCTCCATTCTTCTCTAAAATACAGAGAATAATAACACCCACAAAATCCATCTGCTTCGAGCACCGTGTCCTCCGATTTCAAAGAAAAAAAACAAACATCCTCGCACCTGATGCCTTAAATAGAAAGTTTTGTTGCAAATAAAGTAATACAAGATGCAATGACAGGAAGTTATCACTAAAACTCACAGTTCCTGTCAGTGTGCCAGGCACAGGTCCTGTCAGCGTGCACGGACTCGATGACAGACAACCCCAGGCTGATTGGCCAGTAATTTCTTCATCACAGCCTTTTGGCCAATCAGATCAAGCAAGGACTTGTGGGGCATATTACCTTGTCTGGTAAAACTTTTGCTTCTGTGCTGGAATCCAAACTACCGATGTAATATTGAATGGTTTGGACGGGTTGTCAATATCTTTTTCGCTTAACCCAGCACACCTGTGCAAGACAGCGGCAGAAGTTACTCCTCGGCGCTTAAGCATTATTTCCAGAACTGTCAAGGTCTGAGGACTGTTACTGACAGCCTTAAGGAAATGCCATCCTAATTCTTGAAACCCAAGAACACATAGAGGTTCCACCATCAGGAATTTGCAAATTGTCGGAGTTTCTGGGGTCTACTGATTAAAAGGAATTAGTGGAATATGTAAAAGGAAAAAAAATGAGTGTGAGGCACTCATCCTGAAGAAAACGATTGGACATACGTCCATCACTGTCGCCTGGGAAAACGATTGGACATACGTCCATCACTGTCACCTGGGTTTGAATCCCACCACAAGCCATATGTGAACAGAGTTGTTTCGGTGGCTCTCTCCAGACCTGTACCAGGAGGGTTTTTGTTTGGAGTTCTCTGGTTTTGCTTAACGCTTTCCAACTCCACCTGTACTCTGTGGTCAAATATGGGTCATTTGGTGGCTACCTACCTGGAAAGCCTCTAAATGCCGTCAGCTTGACCATATCGTGGCTGTATCCTTTGTTAATTTAGCCTTGCAGCTGCTGCGAAGGATGATCCCCCATTAATACACTTAATACACCAGTAAGTTTTTCACATGGTCTGATTAAACAGATCTAAGTATAGTTGCACAACATGCACTTATTGGTTATAATAGCTTGACTCTACCAGTGTTATGTTCTGAATCACTGACTAGTTACCCTCGTCTGATGCTTGACATTCACGATACTTGTTCATTCAAAGTGACCTACGAAAGAGTTGGATATTGACTGTTATTGCTGACAAGAAAATAATATCCTCAACCTGCAATTTTTCTCTCCTCTCCTTCTCGTTTCCCCTTGTTTGAAACACAGAGCCACTTACCGATCAGAGGCGTTCCGGCAAACCTCTGGACTGGGTCCATGGGCACCTCGTACTCCGACTTGGAGGACTCCTCCTCCAGGCTGGACAGATCTGGCAGGTCGCAGCTAGACGAGGCCGGTGCGGCAGAGCTCTTGGGGGACGACTTGGCAAAGAACCGGGACTGCATGCGGTCAAAGAGGGATTTCTGGACCTCCGACTTGGTCTGGGCGCTGGTCACTCTCGACTGCACCCGCTGGAGGAAAGAAACCTGTAAAGCAAACAATGATGACGTTTGACGAAGAAGAAGACAGACGATAACTGACTTTCATATACACTCTCCATGGTACATGTAAAAATAACAAATATTACCATATAATTGAGTGCCTCTTCAGCCAAATGCCAACTTTTGTGTACCAACATTTCATCCATGTCCAAATCACTTGTCTATGGACGGAAATACACATAGGCCTAGGAAAACCAACAGACACCACTAGATTGTGGCTGCAGATATTTCTCATAGAGTTGTGTGCTCTTTCGCACAGAAACATCATGGGTTTGTGTACAATCAGTTCGAAATAGTCCAGTGCACTTTCTTTGACCTCAGCTATAACAGGCCCCCTGCCCCATCTTCAACTACAGCCTACAGCTAATTTCATGACTAAGGGTACTACGCGAACTGCCATGACCTGTTTACAAGTTTTTCATGCTATGTCACAGAAAACAGTAACAGGTTTATACGTTCCCACATTTGAACTTCTTAAATATTCAAAAAAGCTATGCCACAAACAACAGACATTCATATCTCTGGACCTTTCACTTGATTAAATCTTAAACCAATTTAACAATAATTTACTAACTTGACGTCTCAAAGCATCTACACTCTTCAATGTACCTTGCCAGAATTCTTGCCCTCCTTGCCATTCTCCTTCTTGGCCTCCTTTGTCGTCTTGCTGGCCTCCACCTTCCGAAGCCGGCTCAGCGACCAGGTCCGCGTCTGGGGCTTGGTGGGCCTGTTGTTGCTCGCGGTGGAGGTGCCCCCACCGCCGGCAGTCCGGCCCCCACTGACTGCAGGCTGGCCCCTCTTGGCACCCAGATTGCCACGGCTGTACAGGGTGCTGTGCTTCTGGAAGTATTTGGGGGAAGTGCGGATGCCCACCGAAGAGGCAGGATACTTGACCTCCTTCCGGCGGGGAGGAATCTTAGGAGGATCTCCTGAGGATGCCCCCGCAAGGGATTGCTCTTCCATCAAAAATCTCAGCTGCAGGGTTATTTCAACAAATCAGCTTATTTTGAGCATAATATCCAAGTTATATGGAAATTTAGCTTTCCCTTTATATACTTTTCAACAATAACATTAAACCATTTTCATCCTTTTTTAATCCATATCTGAAAAGGACTTTCAAAATATGTGACTTAAAATACAAGGAAATGTTATTCTGACAACCAAATCTATGAACCCAGTCTATTTTACTATAATTTGCAGTTCCGAGGCAGCACGTGACTTTCAAAATTTCCTATCATTGTAAGAAAGGAAAAATGTTTTAAGTGAATGACAAAATTTCAAAACAAACAAAACCTCAAGTTATAAACAGTTCCAGCGATTAAAAAAAAATTATTTTCCCTGAAGTTTTCCTTGGAAAATTGGAGTGTCAAAAACTGCCCACCTTCTCCATCTTCATCCGTGGCCTATCCCATAGCCCAATTAGTTTGTTAGTGCACTTAATTATACCTCTCGTTCCAAGGCCATGGCCTTCATCTCTGCACGATTGGCTCGTTCCTCTGCCATTCGTAACAGCTCTTTATGAACCTTTGCGGACACCATTTCAGCCCTGTAGTCATGAAAAATTAAGTATATGAACAAACATCTTTTAAGTAAAATGCATTCTTAAAATGCTCCTTCACCTTTAGCCTTCCACTCATTTTGAAGTCACAAAAGCTTACTATTTCAGCTGATGTGGCATTGTTGCCAAGCCTTTAAACCTAACAGCTCTGACTTTGGTAGTCCACAACTTTTGCACATTATTTCTAGGAATCACTCACAACAAACACTTTTTGAAATCTAGTCTTTAACTCTGGTCACATCCAATCCCAAAAGATTTTCAACATTTTGTTAACCCTGTCTCCCAATGTAAAAAGCTGGCATTGCTATAAATGGAACACAGGCAAAATTTTGCTCACTTCTCTCGGGTGACTTGAGCCAAATGAGACAACAGTCGGTTGATTTCATCCTTGGATGCCAGAAGCTCTGTTTGTACCACTAGGAATAAAAGAATCAATTTTCCAGATTCCAATTAAGATTTGAACTGAAAAGGATCTTGAAATCAAGGCCATTAAAGAACCCCACAAAACTATTTGGCATGTTCATTATAACATATCATGTATTAAATACACAGAGTGTCTGATATTTCTGGATGCATATTAAAGTCACCCAGTTGTAAAATGACTTCATCACTGGCAAGCAAATCAAGGTAGACTTCCACTGAAAGCCCTGTGTCAGCTAAGAAACAAGGCTCTAAAGTACTGAGCATTTGAATAGGGATGTACTGCATGCCCTCCCCCTAATAAAAGAAAAGAAAATTGATCACTAACTGTAACACTGACATCAAAAAAATTGGCAAAGTCATTTTTTTCCTCAACATTTTTCAATTTGTTTCAGTGTAAACACAGAGGTCATATTTGCTCTTTGCACATTGCTGCCATAGGCATGCAGAGCCTCAAACTGATGGTTGTACAATCGCGTCAAAATCAAATTGTCCAATCGCACGGTGTAAGAACTAACGGCGCACATGCAAAATTACATATTAAAGCAACATACAGAGTAAGCACGGAACTGACTATACTTGTATCTATTGTGTACAGCAGCCAGATCAAGGCTCTGCATGTCTATGGCAGCAGCATGCATAGAGCAAAGACTGCACCACAGCACACTGGAAATCCAACATCAGCAAGCTTTGGACCTTGCAGGGTGAGAGCTTTTACCCTACAAATCTTTATCTGCTACTTTTTTCATTCCAATTTCTCTCGCATTAACTGGTTTCCTTATACACAGAGAGCCTGATATTTCAGGTTCAAAATGTAGGATTGCCTGTGTCACAGCTGGATATTATTTCCAGAAATTCACCATGGGCACGCAAAAAGTCCGGCATGAAAACAAGTTTACATTTAAAAACTGTACCACATTGACTGAAGACCTCATCAGGGACGTCTTTGGCACAGGACAGGTATGATTCAGTTTGCGGAGGAGTAGCAATAGATGAGATGTTCATGACACAACTATTACCATGACAACACCTTGTGATCAGGGATATCTATCCAGGAGGTAATTATGATCTGCTCATTTGATTAAAGGAAGTCATTACGAGACAGATAGCTTCAATATCTGGGGGAAGGGGAATATTTTGCACTGCCCACACAACATGTGGCTCAATGTCAGGACTGCATCGAGAACCGCAAGTGAATGTTCTTGTCCTTTTCAGGAGTTATTCAACATACTACAAATTCTAAAATCGAAGTTTGGCCTGTCGCAGGTAATGGTCCGATGAAGAGGTGCAGACGCAACCATTCTTGCCGTGATTCAGGACAAGGCATTTTTCTGCCCATGGGAAACCAACTACTTGGGGCAAGGTGGATGCCAAAGGTTGAGAGGCAGATCAATCTCAGAGGTTCAAGGATACACCAAAAGCGCAATTCCATCTCTCATGGAACTACTGACCAAAGATCGTACAGCGCCAAAGGCGCAAGATGGATGACTCTGCCCAAAAGGTGTAATTACCACGGGCGCCATTTGAGCAAGCGATACGCCTGCGTGGTTTACGGTAATGCTTCGGCGCAGGCTCACCAGGTGCACATGCCTGCTGCGGGGCCTCCCCATGCAGTAATGTGCATTGTGCAGGCGTATCACTTGCTCAAATGGTGCCTATGCAATTACAACATTTTATGTGTAGTTGAACGTGAAGTTCTCCATCTATATGATCTTTGCTACTGACCAAATCACTTGTTTTGATTTTTTAAACACCAGTTTTGGAGTCAAGGCTAGGTACAATATGAAATACTTTGGATCTTTTCTCGATCCACGAGTGGTTTTTCAACAGACAACTTTTAGCAGGTTTCATTTTATCTCTTACTAATTTTACCATTTATCTTAAGCTACATGTGTATATCACATACTGTGCATTTCACGTACATGATTTTTACTGATTTTTAGGTCTACGTAATTTTCAGCATAATGCAATCCCTTAAGTGTGGAAGGATTTGAAATAAATTAAACATAAGCTACTCAAGATGAAATTCCTTTGTTTTTACTACCTTCATCAATATCATTGTTAGCCAAGATCAGAGAACACTGTTGTGAGGAAAAGTGATGTTTATCTTCAGGAAATTCAGATCAGCATGGCAAAGAAGGCCCCAAACACTGCAGCATACTGTATTTTAAAATGGTTGGTTCTTAAGCTGCATGTTATTGTCACAGAGAGTATGTAGGCTACAGAACCAATTTGAAATTTACAGATCTGCAACTAGCAAATATAATTACTCCAAACGCTCCATAATTCCCTCCCCATATCAATTTTCTCAAAGGAGTCATTTCAAGTCTTGGCAACTACAACTTTAATATGTGCATTAGCAGAAAGTTAAGATACTAAAATCTAGAAGGATCTTTTTAGTTCTATCTTGGTTTTAGTTTTGTACACACTCCTGTTTCAATTAGTGAAATCCCAAAGATTTCCAAGGATGGATTCCCACTCGAGTACGCTTGTGGTTTTTTTTTCACAAGCCTTTGGGGGCAAACACAGTATACAGTGTAATAATACACGTCAGGAAGGGGAAAAAAAAATCAAAATTAATTGAAATCACAACCTTGTTAGAGAGAGATAAATGATTTGGGTGAGTGGGAGGGGGCAAAGGAGATTAAAGTTGTCATGTCCCCCACGAAAAATATTTTATTCAAAGTTGAGTCTAAAAATTTGACAAGATCATTTGCTTATGGGTGACTACCCACCCTGAGTAGAAGCATCCCTTAGTGGCAAAAGAAGAAACAGGATGGTGGGAAGTTTATCAAGGAAAAGCTTTGAGATGCAGGTGGTAATAGACATACAAGTCCTTTTTCACAGTTTTGTGTCAACTCAGAACTGTGCACGTATGCTCAGAATAAAGCAGAGATCTTTAGAACTGGTAAAAAGGACTGCCACTGCCAGCGTGTCAAAGTCTTCCATTAGGCCCAAGTTGGTAACCAGCGCACACACAAAGAGCACATGTATGGAATGCCAAATGTACCAAAATATGATGTTACTCAGCGAAAGTAGTTTGATTGTGTCCTCATTCTATTATGTGACGTTGTCAATCCATTATGTGGTGTTGTCAATCCATTATGTGTTGTCAATCCATTATGTGGTGTTGTCAATCCATT